AGTTCTGTATTTTCTGCTTTGTGTGTGTGAAATAGCTGCCTGTATGTGCCCTTGCATATGCCACACCTCTGAGCTTTCTGTTCAATGTACATTTCCTGATACGCATAGAGTGACTCCAACTAGTTTCTCTCCCAAATTTATTTTTAAAGATTTATTTATTTTTATTGCAAAGTCAAATACACAGGAAGAAAGACAGGAAGATTCCCCCATCCAATGATTCACTCCCCAAGTGACTGCAATGGTCGAAGCTGAGCTGATCTGAAGCCAGGAGCCAGGAGCCTCTCTGAGGTCTCCCACATGGGTGCAGGATACGATCTCAAGGGCTTGGGCTGTCCTCACCTGCTTTCGCAGGCCATAAGCAGGGAGCTGGATGGGAAGTGTGGGTTGTGGGGATACGAACCAGTGCCCATATGGGAACTCCAGGCACGCAAGTCAAGGACTTCAGGCACTAGGCTACCGTGCTGGGCCCCCTCTCCCATATTGTTTTGTGGGCATCTCTTCTCCTGTGACTTCAGGGATTTTTAAGATTTGTTTTTATTGGGAAGACAGATATACAGAAAGAAAGAGATACAGAGAGAAAGATCTTCTGTCCTCTGGTTCACTCCCCTGGCGGCCACAACTGCCAGAGCTGAGCCGATCTGAAGCCAGGATCCAGGAGCTTCTTCCAGGTCTACTACATGGGCGCAAGGTCCCAAGGCTTTGGACCGTCCTCTACTGCTTTCCCAGGCCACAAGCAGGGAGTTATATGGGAAATGGAGGCTATATGGGATGCTTTTTTTTTTTAAAGATTTATTTTTATTATTTTTTCATTGGAAAGGCGGATACAACCCTAACCCCAAGTCCTGCAAGTGGGGCATGCTCTGAGATATTCGCTCAAGAGGTTTCAATAGTTCACCAGTTATGAATCGCTGCCAATCTCGCCCCTCCAAACACGATGAGGTCGTTGAAAAATCCACTGATTGACATTGTCCATCATAGCGTCTCTATTTGCCCGGTATTTTGTTGCCAACCTATAGCTGAGGTCGTTGATTAACTTGTTCCATCTTCTGTCCTTTCATGGTTAGGGTTCTGAGTCTGGCATTTCAATTGGGGAGATCGCCAAAGAAACTTCGTCTGAGGTGTTCCCAGGCCAGATTCTTGTATGCACCAGCAAGTACAGGGTCCGGCACAGTCCATCACCCTGGTCAGCTGGTGGTTGCAATTGCCGGGTTGGTTCTGTTTTCAGCCCTGCTTTCCACTGGAACCAATGGGTGTTGCAGTCCAGACTGGTTCTGCACAGCGCATACTTGGCCCTCACATAAACCCGTGGGAGCTGCAGCCTGGTGAGAGCGACCCGCAATAACCCCCACCAGGCCTGCCCCCTACCCTGGTTTGCCAGTATGTGTAGCAGACCAGTGTAGTCTGTCCCACATCCCCCTTGGCTCTCGTACACGGCAAATGGCATTGAAGTTTAGATCCATCTAAGCAGCTCAACAACCAAGCCCTCACGGGTGTTGATGAGTGCCTTTCTGTCTAGCCACCCCAACCCCTGTCCTAGTTTTTGTGCCAACCCGTGGAAGTCGTAACCCAAGAGGGGGGGAACCCACTATTTCCCTCCCAGGTCTCTCACTCCTGGATTGTGCACTTTCCAGGTGGTTATGCAGTTTAACTGGCAGCAATCTTTCTTGCATCTGCTGGCTCACTTCCCCAGGGACCACCACCAGAGCCAGCAGTGGCTGGGCCAGGACAAGCCTGGGAATCAGGAGCTTCCTCCAGATCTCCCACAGGAGCACAGGGGCACAAGCCCCTGCACCATCCTCTGCTGCTCTCTCAGGAGTACCAGCAGGGAGCTGGACCACAGGGGAAGCAGCCAGACTTTAAAATAGCGCCCATACAGACCATCCGCCTGGCAGGCTGAGGCTTGACCCACTGGGACAACACCCCACAGCACCACCCCACAGCACCCGACTCCACCCCTTGATGGTTTCTTCAGCAGCTCCTTCACCAGACTGGTGAGGGTGCCTGTCCCCCTGGCTTGCACAACTTATGCCGTTGCGTGCTGTGAGAGCAGCCGGTACAAATGAGGGATCCAGGCATGTTGCTACTCTACCTGTCCTGGTGAGAAGGAACTCTGTGGAGAACACACATCAGCCGTTGGGTGTCTTATGGCAGGTGGCACATCAGCGGTGGCCGATGGTCCACGGCTGGCCTGCAGGAGAGAGAGTCTTGAGTCCAGGATGATCCCTGGAGGAGGGTGAAGCACTCGCTGGTGAATGAGAGGGCAGCAGCATCTGGCTGGAGGCCGTGGGGCCAAATTCCTGCCTCAAATGCACACGACAGGGATGCCTAAGCCCTCGAGTGTTTCCTCGGAGCCCCTGACAAAGGGAAAGGGGTCCTCATGAGCCCATGCCCGGAGATGGCATGGGAGGCCACGCTGGACACCCATGCCACCGAGGTTGTGGCAAGAGGAGGCTTGTGGGCCCTCATGGACGGACACACACATACACACGCAGGCCCTGTAGGAGAGAAAGACAGTGGGCAGGCAGGCAGGCAGGAGGGCAGGGACAGACTCCAGCACCTGGGAAAGGGGGTCATGAGCACTGACACACGAAGAGCAAGCAAGCAGGCCATTGTGGGGAGGCCACAGCCATCCACGTGGGCTTGAGCTGTCGAGCAACCAGGTAGGAAAGTGTCTTGTGAAAACGGGTGTGGAGCCACCAGAGAGAGCGCCGGAGAAGGCCTGGAGCCTTAAGACACCCACGAGGAAGGGCAGGGCTTCTGCCTAAAAGCAGGAGGATAACAGACCTGTTGCTAGAGCCCAGCACTAAGCAAGTGAGCAGGAAAGCGGTGTCTATCAGGACAACTTGGATCAAGCACTGAGCGGGCAGGGGTAGGCAGGACAGCTGTGGAGGGCTTCCAGGAGGGTCTGGGGTGCACGGCCAAGGCATGGGCAAGCGGGGAAGGGGTAACGAGTGTGTGAGTAGAGGGCAGGGATACGGGGGAGCACCTCCCCAAAGAGCCTCTCCAAAAGAAGGGTTCCGGGCAGAGTGCAGGAAGGGCCGCGGGAAAACAGTCCAGGCTGAGACCATCCGGGATAGTCTGAGGTCTTGGCCACTCCTTCAGGTGGGCGGCACCAGCATTGCCCACCCATTTCTTAATTAATTAGGAGCCCACCAATGGGAAACATCGACCCCCTCTGCACTCCCCAGACGGGTTGAGAAAAGGCCAGTCCCTTCGTTCTGTCTCCCATCTCCGGTCTATCACCCAAGCAGCTTCCCGCCTCCGAAATCCAAACAGCCTTAGAATGGGAGAGCGCAGTTGGAGCTGCGCAGTTAGGAGATTTTTTTTCCCTTAGAAGCTCCGACAGCCACAGGGACCCTAACAAGTAACTTTGAAGCAGATGTTACTGCACACCTACATTCCAGTACCCCTGGTGCCTCTTCCAGACCTCACTTAGGGACAACACCCCTCTCCATCAGGGAGAAGGCAGATTGACTTCACCACCCTTTTCCTATTACCAAAAGGTCGGAATCCTGGTTACCGCAGTTACAGGAAGTGGGTGGACACCAGAGACCTCAGCCAGAGATCTGGCACACCCCAAAGGCAGCCAAGGCCACGAATGGACCAATGGTGTACAAAGGCTAACAGTCCTTGTCCCATCAGGACCCAAGCAGGGCTGATGCCAGCACCCACGTCAGGGGGTATAAAACCTTTGTCTCCACTACCCAGCTTGTCTTTCCCACTTGCAGTCTTCTCTCGGGTTTATTCTTCCACTGCATGGGAAAGGCCCAGAAAGGGACTCCTCTTTGCATAATAAAGGCCTGTTTGTGCTTGACTGGTATTTTCTTAGATGGTCAGCAGATCTAACACCTACATCCACACCACCTCACATCAACAGTACCTCACATCCACTCCACCTCACGTCCACTCGAACACATGTCCACACTACTTCACGTCCACTCTACTTCATGTCCACACTACTTCACATCCACTCCACCTCACGTCCACTCCACCTCACAGCTATGCCACCTCATGTCCACTCCACCTCACGTCCACTCGAACACATGTCCACACTACTTCACGTCCACTCCACCTCACAGCTATGCCACCTCATGTCCACTCCACCTCACAGCTATGCCACCTCATGTCCACTCCACCTCACGTCTATGCCACCTCATGTCCACTCCTTTACGTCCACACCCCCTCACATCCACTTCACCCCAAGTCCACTCAACCTCCATCCACCTTTTGTCCATTCCACCTCACATCTACTCGACCTCATGTCCACACTGCCTCACAACCACAGTACCTCATGACCACCCCTTATGTGCACTCCACCTACATCCACACCACCTCACTTCCACTCCACCTCACGGCCACTCGAACTCACAGCCACATGAACTCACGGCCACTCCCTCATGTCCACCCCACCTCATGTCCACACAGCCTCACGGCCACACCGCCTCACAGCCACTCGAACTCACAGCCACTCCCTCATGTCCACCCCACCTCACGTACACACCACCTCACATCCACTTCACCCCAAGTCCACTCAACCTCCATCCACCTCTTGTCCATTCTACCTCACATCTACTCGACCTCATGTCCACACCGCCTCACGTCCACTCCACCTCACGTCCCAGCAGTTGCACGCCCCTCGTCACGGCTCCCCACGGGCCTGCCCTGGTAATACTCACTCCGACAGCCTTTGCTGCCCGGTTCCCCGTTCCGGCACCAGCTCCGCCAAGAAGCCAGGGGCCGTGCTGACCCCGACCGAGTCGGATTCTGCAGCTTCCCTGCCCGGTAAGAGACCTACAAGCGGCCCCGGCCTCCCGCCGCTCCCCGGGTTCTCCTTCGCCCTGAAACGGGCCCCGTGCGCGCGGCCGGCAGGCAGGCACTGCGCTGGCCAGCCCATGCCGGCGGGGTCCCTCAGGCCTGCAGTCGGGCAGCCCTCCCCGGGGCCTTGCGCGGTTGCGTAGCAGCGGCGGGGACGCGTGCGGGCCGGAAGTGGGTGCGGCGGCCTTGGCATCTCCGGCCCTGCACGGGAGGACGAAGCGGCGGGTGCGGGGCTCGGCGCGGGTGCCCGCGTCCTTCCTGTGCTCGGTCGGTGTGTCGCTGATGCCCACTCTGCGGACTGGCAGGCTCCGGAGGGCTCCCCCCTTGCCGGGCTGCGCTCCCCCGTGAGCGGTGGGCGCATGCTTGAGGTCGGCTTGGAAACAGGCCGCGGGTCCGGCGCTGGGCGTGGGTGCAGTTGGAGTTGGGGAGCGGGGAGCGGCCCACGCAGCCCGGAGGCCTCTTGGCCCTCGGTGCGCTGGGCCACGCATGGCTGCTTGGCCAGTGTCCGCGTGAGGACACTTGCGAATGGACCTCGTGAAGCCTCGGCTTTAGGATCGTGTCTGTCCGGGCGGGAGGGGAGAGGTGGGTGTGGCTGGAGCCGAGTGGAGAAATCTCCCTCAGAGGACGTGCTGCTCGTCGGTGCAGAGAACAGGGCTGGGCCAGGGGCCAGCAGGTGTGTGTGACCAGTCCGGGTTAGGAAGTCCTGGGTTTGGCGTTTCTAACGGCAGCTTCACACTGATCTTCCCAGAGGGAGGCAAGAGTTCCCCGCGCCCAGCTGGGCTGCTCTGAAGTCCAGAGCCATGGCCAGAGACGGAGGCAGAGCTGAGGAGCTGGACCAGGAGAAATACGATGCCGATGACAATGTGAAGATCATCTGCCTGGGTGACAGCGCTGTGGGGAAATCCAAGTATGTTGGAAAACAGGGACCAGACTGGGGGTGTTGGGCCCTTGCCCCCAGAAGCATGCTGAGCCCCGGGAATGAGCGTGCTGTGGGGGTGAGCCTTGCCCTGAGTCTTGCCAGGTGTGGAGGAGAGCCTCCCTACTGCTGAGGCGTGTGTGGTGTGTGGGCTGCACACACTTAGGGGCACAAGCACAGCCTGTGCCCAGCTGAGCACAAGTCTGCAGGACACACTGATCTTTTTTTTTTTTTTTAAGATTTATTTATTTATTGGAAAGTCAGGTATACAGAGAGGAGGAGAGACAGAGATCTTCCGTCCGATGATTCACTCCCTAAGTGAGCGCAACAGCCGATGCTATGCCGATCCAAAGCCAGGATCCAGGAACTTCTTCCGGGTCTCCCACATAGTTGCAGGTCCCAAGGCTTTGGGCCATCCTTGACTGCTTTTCCAGACCACAAGCAGGGAGCTGGATGGAAAGCAGGAGCTGTTGGGATTAGAACCGTCGCCTATATGGGATCCCAAAGCGTGTACAAGGCAAGGACTTTAGCCGCTAGACTACTGCAATGGGCCTGTCTGACTGCAGCTCCTTGCTGCAGGCCCCGGGAGGTGTGAAGGCTACAAGACTGACAGATCTGGACTCATTTCCTGTCTCCAGCATCAGCCCCAGCTGGAGGCCACTGCTGGCATTTGAGGGGGGCGGTGAAGCAGTGGTGGACAGCCCTGTCTGTCTTTGCTTTGGAAACAAAAAGCAGGCAAGCTAGCCTGCATGCAGCCTTTAGCGACTTCCCAGACAAAGCTGAGTGCCACATGTGAAGATCAGGATAGATTCAGGGTGTCTGGGGGACGGTGTGAGCTGAATCTTAATTTTGTTAGACTAGTCTTGGGGTCGCACACATGGTCTCTTCTAGACGTGTTCCGTGTTCTGCTGCTGTTGGGTGGAGTGGAGTGTGCACTGGTAGGTCTGACTGGGTCATAGTGTTGTTCAAGTCCTTTCTCTGTTGATCCTTTCTGGTTGTGCCTGTTGAAAATGGGATACGTAGTAGGTTTGCATTTCTCTTTTCAGTTCTTTTGATATTTGATTCATATATTCTCAGCCCTGTTGTTAGGTAATTATGTTTTTCAAATCTTCTGTTGCAATGGATTGAAACTTTTATCATTGTATTTATATTAATACATTTATTTATTTATTGCTGTTTAATTTTCTTTACCGTTTTGTAGTTTTTAGCTTAGAAGTTCTGTAACTTGTTAGATTTAAATATTTTTCTTTGTTAGTGATTATAAGTGTCATTTTTACATTTCAGCATCTGTGTTGATTGCTTGTGTGTAGCAATACACTTCAATGTGGGTTGTTTTTTTTTTTAAATGTATTTATTTTTATTGAAAAGACAGATATACAGAGAGGAGGAGAGACAGAGAGGAAGTTCCTCCCCAAGTGACCATAATGGCTGATACTGAGCCGATTCAAAGCCAGGAGCTTCCTCTGGATCCCCCACATGGGCACAGGATTCCAAGGTTTTGGACCGGCCTTGACTGCTTTCCCGGCCACAGGCAGGGAGCCAGACAGGAAGTAGAGCAGCTGGGACACGAACCAGCACCCATATGGGATCTCAGCGCATGCTAGGCTATCACACCAGGCCCTACGCTTGGTTTTTATATGTTGTTCTTGCATCCTGTAACCATGCTGAAGTTAACTCTGCCAGTTCTGTTTGTTTGTCATGTTTGGATGGGGCTTTTTTGGGTTTTTTTTGTTTGTTTTGTTTTTTTTTTTTTTTGCTTGTTTTGTTGTTGTTATTAGAATTTCTTACCTAGACTGTTAGGACAAACATTAGAGCTGTGTTTTCTTTTCTGATCTATACACCTTGTTCTTGTGCCTTATCACACAGGCTGGAGCCTCTCGTCTTGTGTGATGCAGACATCTTTGCCCAGTCTGTGATCTCCAAAGAACATATTTCTGATCTTAAGTATAGGTTTCTAATTCTTTGTTATTGTTGTTGTTAAGATTTATTTCATTTATTTGAAAGGTGGAATTATGGGGAGGGGGAAGCAAAAGCAAGCTTCAGTCTGCTGCTTCACTCCCCAAATGACCACAATGATTGGGGTTCAACCAGGCCGAAGCCAGGAGCCAGGAGCTCCATCCAGGTCTCCCCTGTGGCTGCAGGGGCCGAGCACTTGGCCCACCCTCCACTGCTTTGCCACGCACATTAGCAGGGAGTGGGATCAAAAGAACAACTGCTAGGGCTCGAAACAGAACGATGAGGACTGCCAGTGTGGCGGGTCCCTACAATGCCAGCCCCTCTGATAAACTTCTTTTTTTTAAATTATTTTAAATAATTTTACTTAGTTAATTAGGGTACAAAGGGTCAAGGGCTACAGGGTGAAAGTGGGTAATACCATTGTTTCCACACTAATATCATTTTTCCCTGTATCTGGGGTTAGGGGAGTAACAAAGAGAAAAGCCCCACCCAGCCTCCCACCCATCCCAGATCCCAACAGGAGGCGCGCTCCGAGGGTCCTGCTCAAACAGTTTTGATAGTTCATCAGTTCTGAATTGCTGCCAATCTCGCCATTCCAATTGCAATGAAACCTATTCAGAGTCTACTGGCTGAAAGTCTCTTCATAGTTGGGGTTCTAAGATCAGGAGTTCAGTTGGAGGGATCTCCAAAGACACTTCATCTGAGATGAACCCTAACCCAGGCCTGATTCTTGCGTGAGTTTGCTAGTACAGAGTCCAACACCGTTTGTCACACCAGTCAGCTTATGCACATGCTAGTCATTGCGATTGCTGAGTCAGTTCTGTTTCCAGCCCTGTCTTCCTCGTGAACCCACAGGTGTTGTAGTCCAGCTCGATCCTACCCACTTCATACTCGGTCCTCACGCAAACCAGTGGGAGCTGCAGCCTAGTTGGGGCGACTCCCCATAACCCCCACCAGTTCTGCCCCCTACCCTGGTTCCCATGCTTGCCAGTATGTACCGCAGGCCTGTCCAGTCTGTCCCACACCCCATTTAGCTCTCACACATGTCAATGGGCATTGAAACCTAGTTCAACCCAACCAACCTACTATCCAGCCCACACACATACTGGCAGGTGCCTTTCTGTCTAGCCACCCCTGCTCCTGTCCTGGTTTTCGTGCTGTCCAGTGAGAGTGGTAACCCCGAGGGAGGTGCCCACTATTTCCCTTCTAGACCACACCCACTCCCAGATTATGCACTCTCCAGGTGGTTCTGGCATTTGACTTGACAGAATTAGCCCCCAGTGCCAGCCTCTGCCAGCTAATGCTGCAGCTAAGCCCACCCATCCTCACCCACTGTAATTTTTGCTTGCACCAGTCGGAACAGTCAGCCCACCGTGGCCCTTCCGTTATCTAGCTCACATGAGGCACACAGGTGTTGTAGCCCTGCCTGATCTGGTCTGCCCCCATCCTAACTCATGTTCTCCAATGGGATTGACTGTCCAGCAGGAGAACCCACATTCCCCTGTCGGCTTTGCCTCCTCCCCCTGATTTTCACATGTGCTGTTTGGGCACTGCAACCACATCTGGTATGGCTCATCTCACCTTGGCATTCCTTAATGTGTACTGGTATGTGTCGCAACTGAACCTGGCTCAACCCACACTCTGTTCCAGTGCTCGGATTCGCCAGTAGGCGATGTGAACAGGTTTAGCCTGGTCTACCCCTAACCCATGCCATGTGTATGCCGGTGGGATAATTTCCATTGCCTATTTTGGGATGTTTCCTATTGTGCTTCTTGCACTTACCTGCCGGGTCTGTGTCCAGCTAGAAAAGTTGTCCAGGCTCCTCCATCAAAACTCTCCAGTGCCAGATTTCGCGCATACTAGTGGGTCTATGACCCAGCCTTACTCAGTTCACCTCCTGTCCTAGCAGGAACAGAGGCTTTTCCTGACTGGCCTTCAACCCAATCTGGTTCTTACTGTTGGATGTTTCAACCCAGCCACGGCTCTTCCATACCCCCATACAGCTCACACATGGTTCAGTAAGGGCTGAGACCTAGCCTAGTCTGTCACATATCTCCCCTGGTCCTCCAGAGCACCAGGTGGTGTTGGAGTCTGTCCCGGCTTGGTGCTTCCAGTACCAGTCCACACTTGTGCCATGGGAGATTACAATCGTATTCTGATCAGAACGCAGCCCCAATTCCAGCCCATGCGCTCCTTGGTAGGAAACTCAACCCAGCTAGGGTGTCCCCTTGGCTCCCCACTTGGGCCTATTCCCAGTCTTAGATCACGTGCAGGCCAGTGGTTGCTCTGACTCAGCTTGGCAGAGCCCCTCACTTGTCCTGGCCCCTTAGATGCTGTGGCTTAGCATTCCCTGTCTCACGCAGATCAGTAGGTGCAAGGACCTACTTGGCCTGACCTGTGCTCCAACCTGATTTCTGTTCTTTCTTGTGAGTTAAGGTTTGTTCAGCCCTGCCCATTCTGCCCACTTCCAGTTGCAGCCCAGCCCACCCCACATCCTGTTTTAGGATGCACATTCAAGTGCTGCCTCGACCTGCCCTGACTGTTGTGGATTCCTTTGCCTGTGAGAGATGGCAAGTGGCATGGTCACACCTAGCTTAGTCCATCGCAACCCCAGCTTGCAAGCTCACCAGGGGGACTTGTATTTCCACAGGGTTGGGCCCACAGAGGGTTGTCCACAGAGTCTATCCCCAGGCCAAGTTCTCTTGCATGCTGGATAGTGTCTTGACCCTGCCAAATGTGACCACTCTACCACCCAGTCGGGCAGTGGTACCTAACACTGCCAAAGAGGCCCCCATCCATAGCTTTGGTGTGGGCTGGTGTGTGATGATCAGTGATGTTCTATGCTAACAGCCCATCTCTGGATTCCTAATTGGGCTGGTAAATCTGTCTAACCCAAATTATCTTCTGGATACTTCCTTCCAAACCACCAGGTCTCAGTCCCCATGCATGCCTGAAACTTTCGTGACCCTGTCACTGGGAATCACCCAAAATTCATTTCTCACTTACACTAAAACTGGCCTTATTCATGGGTGTCCCCAGGCAGCAACTACATATCTTAAAAACCTCAGAGTTCGCCGCCGGGCGGCCAGCAGGCAAAGCCGTGCACCACTTGGGGAACTGGCCGCCCTGGGGGAAGCTGAGGACTCATTCACTGCCTTCCGGCAGTGTCTTTGGCATGAGTCCCCAGCATTGGGTCCGACCCGGCAGGGGTACCCCCCACAGCCGCCACACTGTAGGGAACAGCAGTTGCCCCCAACCCCAAGGCTCGAACCCCTCCCAAACTCCCAATAAACTTCTTTATAAGAAATTACATGGAAAGAACTTTTGTATCTTTCAGTTGTAAAATTTAAGTAGTTTTAATGCTGTCTGACTGGTAAGTTATAAATGGTTTTATATCTTGAGACAGTAAATCGTCTAAGCACTTGGTGTTAGATAACGGATAGAGAGAGGAAGGTATACTGAAGGGTTACAGCTTTAATGTTATAAATAGGGTAAGGGTAACATTGGATCAAAGCCTTAAAGGAGCTGCAGAATGCAGGGAAGGTGGATGGCATTTGGATAGAAGACATAGCTTTCCTGGCCTGCCTCCTCCTCATGCAGTCATGCCCTGACGTGGAAATGACATACCTAAGGGCCTCACACTGGCCATCTGTGTCACTGCCTTGACGTGATTCCCAGGATGCAGGCTTGATCCAGGAATTGTGTAGCTGTGGAGTGAACATGAGAGAAGCCTCAGGCCTGGGGGGCGATCCAGTAGGGCCAAGGGGATGTGGGGTTCACCCTGACCTTGCCTGTTGTTCTTGCAGACTCATGGAGCGGTTCCTCATGGACGGATTGTATCCTTTACAGCTGAAAGCACCTGCTCCACTAGCTCTTTGTACAGTCCTGATTTTTGGCTTCAACCTAGGAAACACACAGGCACCACTGCTCCCTCAACTTTACTCAGTTTGGGTTTGGTGGGTACCAGGAAGGTGGTAGCATTGATAGTGCACTTAGTCTGGTATGGGCATCACAACCCAAACCCTGATCCTTCCCATGACCTTTGGTTCTCTGATTTCAAAATTTGGCAGCTTAATAAATCTATGTGGAAGGGTAGAGTGACAGAGAAAGGGGACTGATTTCTCCATCCATTGGTTGACTTCCCCAGCACTTACTAGGCAGGAACCAAGGACGTCCTCTGGGTCTTCTATGTGAGGAATCAGAACCCAAGTCTGTGAGCTGTCACCTGGTGCCTCCAGGGTGCACTTGAGCAGCAAGCTTGTTCAGAGTCCTCTCAACTCCACGCAGGCACCTCTGTGAGGAACGGTGGTGTCCCAAGCAGAGAATTAGCCATATACCAGATGCTCCGCTCCCAAATCTGTCCCACCTAAAATCTAACTCCAGGGTGGGAAAGGGCTTATTCCACCATGCAAGATCGGCTCCTTCCTCTCTGCTCCTTAATTTCTGAATGAAGTCAGCCACAACAGCTGTCCACCTACGCCCTGACCCTGTACAAGCACACAACCACAGTGGACGGCAAGACCATCCTCGTGGGTGAGCAGCATGGAGTCCAGAGGGACTGGGAGGAGAGGAGAGGCAAGAGTGGCCCATGGGAGGCAGAGGAGTGAGAGCCCAGGCAGGAGCAGATGTTACAGTCCAGCCTGCCAGGGATGGTGGCAGGAGGGCACAGGGCATTCTCTCTGACCCTGCTTCTAGGCCAGAATCAGTCTGTAGGATTCCTGCAACTGCCACAGGGAGGAGGGATACTGAGACCTTTAACAAGGCCCTAGCTCTCCTCGCTTCATGTGTTCTCATTCAGCCAGTGTGAAGAATGGATACGTGTGTCTCCCAGACAGGTTTGACCTCCTGGAAGGTCATGGCCTTCTTCAGGGCAGGCCGCATATCTGGCCTGATGGGGTTTTCACTGTGGTCAGGCCTAGAGCTGGCAGGGCCCTGCATCTTGTGTGTGGGGACCAGGGAGGTTTCCTGGCAGCACTGCCTTCCCTCCCAGCACACATGTCTCACTGCACACTCTGGCCTCCCCACTTGCATTCATGTGTGTGCACATCACTTACATGTAAGGTGATGTCCTCCCCACTTGCATTCACGTGTGTGCATTTCGTGTTTTCACACCGACCCCCGCACAGAAGTGCGTGCTCCCACCCCAGTAGGCATGTAGAACCATATTTCTATTGCAGACTTTTGGGACACAGCAGGCCAGGAGCGGTTCCAGAGCATGCATGCCTCCTACTATCACAAGGCCCACGCCTGTATCATGGTACGTGATCAGCTGGGAGGTAGACAAAGGTCCTGGGCAAATCTGTCCTGAGGAGTATTGTGGGAGAAGGGGTCTGGTCCACCAAGTACACAGCTTGCCTCATGTGTTTCCCAGAGCTTCTGGGTGGAAACTCAAGACAACACTTGTCTACTGAAACACTCCCAGATGGATCTCCTGCCTTTTGTGGAAGTATACCTGCTAACCCTCCTTCCAAATGCTGGATGAGATCCTGCGCTGGGGGATTTAGAAATTGGTTCAGCAGCTTACCAAGTGGTTGTGCTCCGTAACTTTTTTTTTTTTTAATATTTATTTATTTTGATTGGAGAGGCAGATTTACGGAGAAGCAGAGATAGACAGAAAGACCTTCTGTCTGGCTACTCCCCAAGTGGTCATGACAGCCAGAACCAAGCCAATCTGAAGCCAGGAGCCAGAATCTTTGCCTGGGTCTCTCAGTGGAGAGTCCCAAGGCCTTGGGCCATTCTCTGCTGCTTTCCCAGGCCGTAAGAAGAAAGCTGGGTAGGAAGTAGAACAGCTGGGATATGAACCAGTGCCCACATGGGATTCTTGCTTGTTGCAAGGTGAGGATTTAGCCACCAAGCCATCGAACCAACCTGTAACCTCTTTTTAAGTTACTTGAGAAAGCTACATATAGAGCTCCCATTAACTGGTTTATCCCCCTGCATACCTATAACAGCTGTGATAGTCAGCCCAAAGCCAGCAGCTAAGAACTAAATACAGGTCTCCAGCAAGTTGAGGCATCACTTGCAGGAAGCTGCAATCCATATGGGATGCGAGCATACCCCCATCAGCAGGTGAGCTGCTGTGCCAGTGCCTGCCACGTTCATGAGCTTATCCATGGACACTGGAGCTCAGCACCTTGTGGCTGTTGTGCTGTCTGGAAGAAGCTCCTTTGAGGAGCTTCCATGAGGAGCCGGAGGGTTCTCTGAAGTGATGACTTGGAATTTGCCTGTTGAGCTCTGTTCTTAGAGTGGCCTTCAGTTCTCATGTTTCTTCCCTGATGTCTTGAAATAGATTGAATCAAGAAAAAGCCAGTGAAATTATAAGCTAAAGGATAATTTAGAAAATTAAAGTGACTTCTAAAATATTTAAAGTACAGAGTGAATAGAAGACTAAAGAAAACTATGAAAGTAATATCATAGGAAAATTCAAGTAGCACTCAAAAGTGTTACAAAGGGATCTTAAAATAGGGACCTGCACTGTGGCGTTGCCAGTTAAGCTGCTGCCCGCAGTACTGTCAGCTCGGCAGCCATCTAGGAAGTGAACCAGTAGATGAAAGATCTCGTCTTTGCTCTCACTCTTCCTTTCAAATATGTAGAAATAGATCTTTTAAAAGAAATTTATACTTGTTAGGTAAATAGGATTACATGCCAAGAAAACAAAAAGGAATAGAAGATTATAAAAACACCTTTGGATCTGAAAGCTCAGAAACTTCCCTGAGACGAGCAGGTATGATCAGAGGAGCCCGTACTTGGGTGAATTCCCAAACCGAGAGCTTGGCTGCTTAGGTGTGAGTCATCTGGACCTGGTGTGCAGACGCCATGTCCCTGAACTGTCTTCCTTTGTCCTTGGCAGGTGTTTGATGTGCAGAGGAAGGTCACCTATAAAAACCTGAGCACCTGGTATGCCGAGCTGCGGGAGTTCAGGCCAGAGATCCCGTGCATCGTAGTGGCCAATAAGATTGATGGTGGGGCCATCCCTGCACCTGGGCACCAGCAGTTCATGGGGAACCCGTCAGTGTACATTCCTACACTTCCTGGGGTGGGCAACCCTGGGTGATCCACCCTATTCCCCATTATCTTTGCTTGCATGCACTTCCCATCTTCCTAGTTCCCTGAACTCTAGGGTTCAGTCCTTGGTCATCACCACACAGCTCACTGGGATGCATTCATGATTCAACCCCTTCCAAATCCCTCACCCTTTTCCTTGATAGACACACCAGTGTCCCATCCTGTCTCTACAGCGGACATAAAAGTAACCCAGAAAAGCTTCAGTTTTGCAAAGAAATTCTCTCTGCCCCTGTATTTTGTCTCAGCTGCTGATGGCACCAATGTTGTAAAGGTAATGGTAGCCTGGTGAGATCGGGGCCAGGTGGTACACTCACCAGGGGAAGTGGGGTGTTGAGGAGGATGGGGTCGTGTGTGGCCACATGTGTTGGAGAGAGAGGAGGGTGATGGGGTTAGGCTTAAGCTAAAATTCATTGGCCATATCTAGTATTTAGGTGACTTTTATTTCCAAGGCCTTCTGCTGACTGCCACCCTTCACTTCTTCCATTTGCACTTCACCCTCAGCTCTTCAGTGATGCAATTCGGTTAGCTGTGTCATATAAACAGAACTCCCAGGACTTCATGGATGAAGTGTTGCAGGAGCTGGAGGTAGGCCAGGAAATGTTTGGGGTGGGATAGGCAACACAAGGTTTCTCAGGGATAGGCAGGACCGCAAGTGTTGCCTGCCTTTGCTAACTTCACGTCTGCCCCAGCTGCACAGAGCTAGGCCTTACTTGCGACTTTGTTCACAGAATTTCAAGCTAGAAGAGAAGGAGGAGAATGTACCACACCAAGAGCAGAGTGGCAGCATCGGGAGCCCTTCCCCCTCCTAACATGGCCTCCAGGGGTTGCAGGGATGGGGGACTCTGAGAGAGCCTCTGTCCAGGCCATTCCCTCCTCCAGCTGCTGTAAGCCCTCCCATGCTGTTTGCCTCTCCCGCATCTGTGACCCTAACACAGGGTAAGAACAGCACCAGCAGGCTCCAGGCAGATGTGCCAGATCTTTGCCCAGTAGTCCTTGGATGGAGTTGAGTGTCATGTCATTAATATTTCCCTAGGTGGAAAACAGGCAGAGGCTGTACAATTTTTTAATAAAAGGAAATTTGGGTGGTTAGGGACTAGTTCTTTTGTTTCTACCAAGGGATTGTTTGCTAGTCACCTCCCCCCACACACACACACACACACATACTATTTAATGCTTAAATAACAGGGAGAGTTCTGTCTGCTGGCTTAATCCCCGGATGTTCCCAGTGGCCAGGACCAGACCAGGTCAGAGGCTCTCCCACATGGGTACAAGGGACCCAACTACTGAGTCCTAACGACTGCCTTCCAGAGCCTACACTGCAGGAAGCTGGAATCAGGAAGTTGTAGGCACAGGCACTCCAGTGTGGGATGTGAGTGTCCTGACTCCCTGCCCGATGCTGGCTCAGCTTGCTGCACAATGTATGCAGCCTTCATTCTTGTCCCTGAGTTCTCTGCTCTTTCCTCTTCAGTCTCCCATATAACTTTTTTGAAAAATTTATTTACAAGGAAAGAGTTTTACAGAGAGAAAAATCTTCCATCCACTGATTTACTCAGCAAATAGCTGAAATGACCAGAGCTGAGCCAATCTGAAGCCAGGAGTCAGTAGCCTCCTCCATGTCTCCTACATGGGTGCAGGGTCCCAAGGTTTTGGTCCCATCTGCTGCTTTCCCAGGAAACAAGCAGGGATCTGGATCAGAAGTGGAGAAGTCAGGACACAAACTGGCACCCATATGGGATGCTGGCACTGCAGGCAGAAAATTGGTCCCTCCCAATTAAGTGAAAAAAAAAATACATTGAAAGGACAGCAAACTCATTCCACATGTTTGAGTATGTGCTCTGTTTAGGAGCTTACATAGATAAGGGCAAGATTCGATTACAATCCAATGGCAGAGCTGGCCGTATTGAGTGGCAGATGGGTCAATACAATCACACTGTCAGAGACACTCACTTGGAACTTTGTGTAAAGGGATGTCCTTTACAAATCCCTATTTCAGCATAGAAAACTTCCTGTTCTTGCTAACCCTCCTGTAGGTGACCCCTCCCCTCCCAATATGATTTTATGATCATCTTGTACATCATTTGCATTGCTTTCACTAATTTATTTGGCTTCTTTTTTACAGTAAAGTTGGATTGCATAAACAATGAGTGTGTGTATGTGTGTTGTGGGTCTGAACTGTACTGAGCAAAAAGACACAAAAGAATTTGTGTGTTTGGTACATAATGAGGAGAGATTACCTTGACCTTTATAAAGGTAACCCAAGCTGACTCCTGATTATCACAACGGAGACTATTTCAGTGAAATCTAATGCTTTAGGGGGAATAGGATGATTTTTAAATTTGTTACTTATTTTTGCTTAGTTGATGAATAGAGCACAGTTTCATTCACTGGTTCACTACTCAGATGTCCATAATGAAAACCCCAGGCCAGTCCAAGGCTGGCAACCACGGGCCCGTTCACTCCTGCTTCCCAGGGTCAGGGTTCCAGTTAAAGCCAGTCCAAAGCTGCTTTCCTTGTGAATGACTGGAACATTAGCACTGAAGACCTCCATTTTTACTATTTCAGATATCTGCTTTCCCTTTCCCTCATCTTGCACAATTCATGCCATTCCAGCTGCCCACCAATCCCTTGCGGCCTCCTCCCCGCAATCCCTGCCCATCTCCCGTTCCCCTGCAGCCCCAACAATCCCTCCAGTATCTCGCAGCCGCCTTCCTGTCCACTTCCTTTTCCTCCCTCACTTCCTCCTCTCCTCCTGCACGTGTAGCTGCCCATCCTCCTCTGCATTGCCCCATTCTCCTGTCCTAGCAGCCCTCCTCCTACCACCATGGTAGATGTTTCTCTTCCCCTCCATCCCCGCTCCTGTCCCTAACCTACTAGAATAAAAGATCTCCTAAGTGCCTCTATGCATCTGGTATTTTGGCTTATGGCAGCAAACTTACCCTGAAAAGAGGACTTGGCTGAGGGAAATTAGCCGTGCTTAAGGACTTACTGCAGGTAAAGACTAACACCCAGGGTCTGGTTTAGTAGGAAACTGGAGCCAGAAGTCTGGCTGAATACCAGTGTGGGTACTATTCCATGGGACAGAACTGAGAAATAAGATCCCTTCCATTAATAGCTGCCAGAGTCCTGCTCCAGTTGAGTTCAGAACTCGCAAAGAGTGCGTGGATGAGGCGCAAAGAAAGAGACAGACCACTAGGGTTTCATGATCATAATGGACAATGCGGGAAAGCTGTCCACTTTATTTATACAAAATCAAACTCTGGCTCAGACTTTTTACGTCATGGTCAAGTGGGTGTTTCTAAAGATAACTCTGCCATAGTGTTACTTAGAAGTTCCTGCTACCAGTACCTAGAAGTTCCTGCTACAATTCTTATCCTACAATTCAATGTTGTATCACAAAGAAAAGGGAAATCTAAAGAATGAGGAAAGAATGAAAGCCTAAATCTAGATCCCTTGATTAGCATAGGCTCAATGGGGACAGCCAAGACAGTAGGAATGATAAAGGGCCCTTTTTGCAAGATATTGACCTCCAAGCTCAGGCTGAGCAAAAGGTTAACCTCGCAGTAGCAAATGCCAGGATGGATTAGAATTCTTCCACAGGGTGGTCCGGTGTCCATGCAAAAAAAGGTGGAGCTGCATTCAGGTGGTTGTAGTGACATCCGCCGAGCGAGCGGGGGGGGGGGGGGGGGGGGGGGGGGGGGGGGCCCTGCCGGTCAGCGGGAAATTCCTTGCGGCCCTGCCTGCAATGGAACAACACTCTTCACCCCTTCATGTCCCCCACATCTACTGCACAGACCCCAACAGAAAGCTATAGGTTAGGACACTTAAGAACAACTATTTCTCCTTTTAATTAATGAGTCTTAGGTTGTGGGTTTGGCAGAGTGGTTGGTTTGCCACTTGGAATACCTACTTTGGGTGTCATTGCCTGGATGTAGGTTCTTACTCTGTCTGCATCTCGCCTCCTGCCAAGGTAGACCGTGAGAGATCGCACTCCTGGCTCAACTGTTGAATCCCTACCACCAGCTCCTGGCCTTAGCCTGGCCCTGCCTTGGCAGCTGTTTTGGGTGTGACCTAGTGGGTATCACCTCTCTCTCTGCCTTGTTATTTTCAAATACATAAAATATTTAAGTGATTCAAATACTCAATTTAAGAGATCTCACTTGACTAAAATTTCAGGCATACATTGCCCATTGCTATGGTAAGATGTAGCTTTAAAACGACAGATTTTCTGTTACTGTAAAAGAGAATTTTCTTAAGAGTTCAAAGCTTTGGGGATGGTGTTGTGGCACAGCAGGTGAGGCTGCTGCTTGTGATACCAACATCTAAAGCCCTGGTTTGTTTCTGGGTTTGTTTTGTTTTGTTTATGTTGCTTACAAAGTTGACAAGATGCACACCCTTGAGGACCCTGATTAGGGTGGAGAGGGTCGAGGTATGGGGGATGGTGGGTGGGATGAATACTTCTAACTTTCCTTTCCCTCTGCATGTATGTGGGGAGAGAGGGCTGCCCCCAGCTGCCAAACCACACCAGCACCCAGGGATGGGAGATGTCTACCTGATGTCATCCTAGAAACCCTGAAGTGGAGAAAAATGTCTCAAGAGTATTGCTTGAGTGGTTTTGATAGTTCTGAGATGCTGCTGGTTTCATTGCTGCAGGTTTGAGAAAATCCTTCCAGGGTCCACTGGCTGACAGAACCCATCCCAGTGCATCCACTCACCCAGACATTTGCTGCCAAAGATCAGCCAGGAGAGTTGTCCAACCTGTTTTCCCCGTCTTCTGACATGGCACTGCCATCCTCTGCAGGCCCACATGGGTTATGGCCATCTTGTCCCATATGTGAGCTGTGCATGTGTTGAGCTTGGCAAGAGCGTGCTGAACTCAGTGCATTGCACTGGTCCACAGGAAAATAATACAGACTACAGCATCGTACAGGTCAAAATAGGTCCATGTGGTCCTCAGACCTGACAACCAACAGCTTCTGGGCTCCCATCTTACTCCCTGTTCCTGTTAGACTTTCTAACACTTCCCACCAAAGTGCTAGAGCCGTCACCTGTGGCTTCCCAAGGCGGGCTTCAATTGGGAACCAGGCACTACCATGTGGGAGCTGGACATTCTGGGCAGTTGGGCATTTTCATGCACAGAAAGATGAATACTCCCTTCTAGGAAGGAGATGCGGCACTATATCTTACGAATATCCTTGCTGTGGAAGATAAACTTAGAAAACCAAAATGAGTCTGTACATGCTATTGCAGAACCATCTCTAGATTTGATCAATGAACAAGGAAGTCAGAGTCACATGAACAGAGACGAAGCAGGAGGAAGTCACAATGTGTCAGTGTGTTCCAGTGCATGTGGCTTTTCAGTCTGAGGGATGACGACACCACAGCCTCCAGTCATAAGCATTCCCTGCCAGCATCCCAAACCACACCTGGACTCCTCCCGTGTGTCCTTATTTCAAGGTCGTGTGACCCTCTGGCACATCTGCCCAAGGACACAGAGCTGCTGGCAGTGAAGTGGGGGGTTTGCTTGAACCCAGGACCAGGGAATCCCAAAGGCAAATACCCATGGCTGCTGCACCAGCCTGTGACCCAAATGCAGAGAACTGCGTTTCAGGACTTCTCACTAGGTCCCTCCCAATAGCTTCAGTATCTGCTCCCAGCTGTCTGTGACCTGGGTTGGGCTGTCTCGTACTTGACCTCTGCAGCAGGGTTGTCTCTCCCCCTGGAACCTGCTGTCTTTAATGCAGCCACCAGATCTGAGTGACTCCCTAACCACAGGGAGCAGTTGGCCCCAGCATATCAGGATTTCTTTCCCAGTATTTTTTTTTTTAGATGTATTTGGAAGTCAAGAGTTACGGAGAGACAAAGAAAGAGCTCTTCCATCTGCTGGCTCACTCTGTAATTGGCCACGATGACTAGGGCCAGATTGAAGCCAGAAGCCAGGAGCTTTTTTTTGGTCTCTCATGTGGGTACAGGAGCCCAAGGACTTGGACTGTTCTGCACTGCTTTTCCAGGCCATTAACAGGGAGCTGGATCAAAAATGGAGTGACCATGACTTGAACAGGAGCCCTTATGCCATGCCAGCGCTACAGGTAGCAGATTAATTTGCTACACTACCATCCCAGCCCTTATCCCCAAAACTGTCAAACACACATGAGCGCTTTCAGTTGGTTCTAGCCTGAAGCAGCAAGGGCAGGTCTGCCACTCAGCCCCAGCTGAGCTCTTCACTCATCAGGTTATGTCCTTATCATTAAGTGGCTCAAATTGCTTTCTCTTCCTTACAATGGAAGACCTAATACCTCAAGATGGTAAGGAAGCCATTCAAAACACATTGTGAGCATCCTTGGTAACCCTGCAAAGTATAGAAATGATAATTTAAAAAAACTTGTTTGAATTCAGGAACTATCAATTGTAACCACAAGGCAGTAATGGACTTAAACAGGCTGTCCACTCAGAAACCTGTGGAACACTGACAAAGCAGTGCTTGCTGGTGATCTGTGTTGTGGCCTGCCCAGTGACCGTGATGTAAGGAAGCAACTCTTCTGCACACAAAAGGCACACAGCCTCCTGGTCAGACCTGGACACTTGCTTCTCTCCTGTCAGTGCAGCTGCAGCAGCTGCCTTCGGAGTCACCCCAGCAGGCACATGGCTACAGCTGTGTGAAACAACAGCCACACCTGACCTGCAGCCCCAGCACCTTACTCCATTATTAAACACCAGAATCAGGAATGAACAAACATGTCCATTTCACTGGTGAACGAAGCAGGTGTCGCTGTGATGGGGGTTAGGCTGAGTTAGGGAAAGCACCTAGAAAGAACTCCAAGGCATCTGGTTGTATGTGGATATAGTTTATATATGTATGAATATATTTTTACAAATAGATGTGCTCATTTAGTCTCTTCCTCTCAGGGTCCACTGAGAACATGTTGGATCAGGAAGTCAGGGTTACTTCTGGAAGCTCTGTGGTCTCCGAACCCACTGCGGCTGCTGCCATGTCATAAAAGATCTTGCCACCAGAAAAGGTTGTGCCCTCCTTCAATGCCTCAACGAGTTGCTGTAAGCGCTTGGCAAAAGAAAGTGCTGGGGGAACCTTGGCAGGAGGTGAGGGTGGAGGTGGGGGTGGAGGTGGGACCGGGGGTGGTGGAGGCGGAGGCGGGGGTGGAGGCAGAGGTGGGGCTTGGGCTGCAGATGGCTGAGGGGGTCGGGGCCGGGGTCGGGGTCGGGGTCGAGGCCGTGGCCTTGGCCGCGCCTGCACCTGCGCCTGCGGCCGAGGTCCAGCTGGCCGGGAAAGGTGTTGGAAATACCAAGCAGGGCGAGCCGGGGACTGGTGCCCAGGCGGGGGTCGGACTGGGGCAGGGGTTCTGCTAGTGGGAGGTGGGGTAGCTGGTTGAGTCATGCGCAAGGCAACAGAACCGATTTTAGAACCAATCCAGTCCAGGAAGGGCCAGGTAGCAGTGTAGATTCCGGGGCGCTTAGCCCGTGCACAGCCTACACCCCAGCTGGTGATGCCCTGGACCACGAAGGGCTCTTCCTTGCTTTCTTTGCACATGAGAGGCCCGCCGCTGTCCCCCTGCTCGGAAGGACACAGAGCTCACTCTCTGCCCAAGCCGCTGTTCCCTGGCAGAGAGGCAGAGGGCTCTAGGGGACAGTGAGGCACTACTACCATGAGTGTACATGGGGTGCTATGGTCTGAGGTGGGACCACAAGCGCTGAGCCTGGTGCATCAAGCATGTGCACTGCCTTGGCAGCCCTGGTGGTGAGAGCACAAATACATGTGGCATGCGCATCACTTCTTGGGCATCCCTGAGTACATGTAATTCTAGTGCTGTTTTCAGGGAAGAGACGTAAATACTGTCTTCAGGAGCAAGGTTTGAGTGAGGTGTCATCTCAAGGGTAGGGTGCAGTGCCAGGTGTGGAAGCTGGTGAATGCAAGCCAGAAAGAGTCCTGGGAAGAGGATTGGAGTTAGTGGAGCTTCAGGATCCAGAAAGAGGGGCCTAGGGGATCCTGCAGGCACCCCGGGGGTCTGGGCACACGAGGAAGATTACCTGACAGGTGTCAATCTTGCCTGAAGGATACCCTGCACACAGGTTGGTTGCTGTAATGCGTCCATTGTACCACTGGGTTGAATTACACAACTCGAGGTTGATGAGGTCCACTCGCGCCTCCATTAGCGTAGGTGATGGCATGACAGCTGCATTGGGCCATGCCAGGGTCAGAGACGACAGAAGGTATGCAAGAAGGCCCCCTGCTTCCACCAAGACCCATCCCAGGAGTTGCTCTAAGTAAACCCAGGGGCTACACAGCCAGTACTCTTGGCCACTGACTCATGCCAAGAGGGGAAGAAAACACACAAAGGATGGAGCAGAAGGGGTGGTAAAGGTGATTAATGAGTGTTATAGGAAGAGTGGATAGAGGGCAAGCAGTGGAGCAGGGTGCCAAGCAGACACACGTTGTCAGACACCAGATCTTGCTACTCCCACTGCAGATCAGCAGGTTGGAGTGGTGCACATGCAGGCCCACCAGCAGGCAGAGCTGGAACTGGGCCCAGGGCTACTCCTTCTGGATTTCAGTCTAAAACCATGCGTCAACAAGCCCCTTGCTCTCCCAGGGCTCCTCCACTGATAGAGGTAAGTTGTTTTGAGGTTCTTGGAGGAGGAGTCTGGGATGGTCCCTCCACACTCAGGAGAACCTGTTGGTGATCCTGAAGCTAAGTCAGGGCTGTTTGTAGGCTAAGGCTGTGCAGCAACTCATACAGCCAGCATCGTGTTTGTCGCCTAGAGCCCAAGAATCAGGGCTGCTGGATCTGGATGCAGCACGTCTATGAATGGCTAGAGGGAATGGCAGCTCCAGAGCACAGCTGTGCTGGCCAGGAGGCAGGCAGGAAGAACAGAGCTGCCCCTGTGGCAGGGCTTCATCAGTGGCTATTGGGCCATTTCCTGGTTCCTGCAGCTTTTTCTTCCTCACAACCCAAGAAGCAGTGGAAGCTTACCTGCACTGCCCTGAGACATACTAAAATGACATACAGCAGCCCTGGCCTGCCAGCTATTAGGGTGACGTTTTAAATCCAAAGCACACTCCTGCCAGCCCTGGTGTCTGAAAACAAAGGCTGCAGGAACTCCAGCATTCAGCACCTAGGACAGCTCTTTCAGCCACCAAAGTAAAAAGGTGGAAGAAGGAGGTGGAAAATGAGAGGCATAAGGAAACTGGACACTTCTGTATGACTTGGGCTTCGGGATGGAGCATGTGTCTACAAAAAGGAGAGAGACAGAAACATACGCAGAGAGACAGACCCACGAACTTTAAAGGGATTCTAGAAGCAAAAAGTCTTGTATGACATCTGAGGTGCACCTGGGACTTCACAACCCTCCAATGCAATGGGGTGGCTACAGTGGGGTGGCAGTGGGGACTCCACAACCCTCCAGTGCAATGGGGTGGCTACAGTGGGGCGGCAGTGGGGACCCTGAGCACACCTCTCAGGGATGACCAGAGTTGTGGTGTGGTCACATGGGTGGTCAGAGACTCAGACAGGAAGAACATCACCCTTGCTCCCAACACCAGCACTGAGCCTTGGGCATCAGCAGCTGAGGCAGAGACTGGCACCCTGGGCCAGGGAGGGGTGCCTATGTGTCCATGAGGCAAGGGACAGACCTGTCAGATACTCAGCCCTGTCTCTGTGACAAGGCTGGGGGTAAGAGGGAATGTTGGGGTTGTTCTCTGTTGCTGCCTTGAATTAGGGGCTTAAATATTCCAATATCAAAGAAAAGGAGAGGCTGATGGCTAAAACAACCAGTCGCACTTTCAGTTAAAGTGTGTCTGCACAAAAATTCACATGGCTGTTTAGGAGACATGGAGAGCTTTTGGGTGAGACCTTATGTGATCTTGTCATCCTGTCCAAGCATTGCTGCCCATTACTGCCAGTTAGTGGGGAGTCGCTGTTGCTTCTGGAGTAAATGGTGCCACAAAGTTTTCAGTGTGACTCGCAGCAACAGCTGTCATTCTGGGTCACTCCCCCAGACCTCTGGTGAGCCTGCTATGGTATGAGAACCCCCTGTTCAGTCACAGCTTGCGTTTTCAGTGGTTAGGGTCATGCTGGGTGAGTAGATCTCCTGGCCAGGGACACAGAGATCTAAGGAGGCAGCCATGCCCACCCTGAAGGGCACAGAAGCTGAGGGACAGCTGCAAGGGGCCTCCCAAGCTGGAGTATATAACTCTGGAGAGCCCCTCCCCAACTACTGGGGGTTCAAGGCCGGTGCCCTGACTGGCCAAGGGTGGGCACATATTGTGAAATGCTCAGCTCAGAGACCACCAACTCAGCCCTACCACTCACAGCCCCAGAACCACACACAGGGCTCTTCCCCAACTGCCAGTGCCAGTGGGTTTCTGGTGTCAATTACAGACGCCATCGGGAAGGTGCCAGGACCTACTTGTGTCCTCAGCTCAGCCTTCCCCAAAGAAGCAGGAGCAGGCACCAGTCATGGGACCTGGGACAGGACAAACAGGCACCCCCAAGATCCCAGGAGGAGCCGCAGCAGTGCCCCCCCAAGCAGCCCCTCCCGCACTCACCGTCCTCTTTGACGAACCCCCAGCCAGCCACATAGCAGATCTGGGGAGGTTTCATGGAGACTGCCTTGGCTGGGGGCAGGCAGGCAGGTCCAATGAAGGGCCCGCAGGCAACAGGAGGGGTGATCTTCAAGAGAGCGATGTCGTTTCCCTCACCCAGGTAGTCAAAGTGATCGTGGATGATGATCTTCTCCACATACCTCTCCTGCAGAGGTGGCTTCACTGGCTTGTTGGTCCCGTATTCTATCTCCTGGGCTCCAAACACCAGCCTCCACTCGTGCACTTTTCTATGAGTAAGGGTCAGCCAGCCACTCGCTGCATGGGCTGGTTGGGCCTTCCCCCACCTGGAGTCCATAGGAGGCCCTTGGGAGGGTCCCTGTAAGATAGGAGCCACCCTGTCAACCCCCAGCCTTACATTCCCACACATACTTTTTCTTATTGAAGCAGTGGGCGGCAGTGAGCACCCAGTAGGAGTTCAGCAGGATGCCTCCGCAGGCGTGATATCTGCGGTTGTTGCGTGCCGTGAAGAGCTGCAGGCTGACCATCCAGGGCCAGGCTCCCTGCTGTGCGGCCTGCCCACCAACGATCCGGAACCCCCCTTGTGGGTTCTGCTTGAAGCGCAACCCACAGGGGCCACTGAGGAGAGACCAGAGTACAGCTCAAACTGAGAAAAGGCCCCACTTGGGCCTCAGCCTCCACATGCTTGCGGGAGCAGGGGTAGGGGCTGGACAGAGCTGCAGGGGACCATTTGGAGGTCATTTCTAGGGTCTTATGGGCAGAGAGAGGGCCTGTGTGGTTCCTGGAGGCAGTGGAGTAGGGCAGGTGCACATGTAGTGGCAGGAGAGTGGCCATGGGCAGGCATAGAAGTTCACAGAAGTGAGGTGCCAGGTTAGGAGCCATGGGGACTTAAAAGGGGTAGGCCTGAGGACTGGGTCACAGGTATGTGGCCACCAAGAGCTGGAAAGCTGTTGGTCATTAGTGTCTTAAGCTAAGGGAGGTTAAAGAGAGTGGGGGATGCTAAGGCCTGTTTTGAGGACCCTGGGGATTCTACAGGATAGGCCCCTGAAAACTTGCAAGGTGCCAGGATTCAGCCACAGCAGGGACAAGCTCCTGGGGCTGTGGGGGTTCCGGGAGCCGAGGGTCCAATTCAGGGAGAAGCTGTGTGTGAGTGGGGCACAGAGGCCCCAAGTGACAGTTCTGAAAGTGAGGAGTGTCTGAGCTTACAACAGCTCTGGCCCAGGCCCAACCTCCTCCTCCTCAGCCCCAGGCAGCAGGAGCCTGGGCACCCCTCTTCAGAAGACCCTCTTCACCTGATGGATGTGCCCCGACACTTACTCACACGTGGAGTTATCTTTGGCAACGACAGACACTGCCAAGACCAGCAGAACGGCAGTTGGCAGCATCTCCACCATACTCCTGCTTGGCTCGACCTTGAGCCAGTGACCTCACAGAGCTCTGTGGGCTCCCAGCCAATCAGCAGAGGGACCTCACACCCCACCCCCCAGCAGCAAGGTGATGCAAGCCCTTAGCCTTAACGGATTCACTGAAGTGGCTTCTCAACTTCCCCAGAGCTAGGATCATCATTTCCAGTAGGTTTTTCTAAACCCCACATCCCCCAAAGCTCCAACCCTATACAGAGAGAGGTCAGAGGCCTCTGGGTTGGACCTTAAGGCAGTCCGACTTGCCAGTTTCCACCAGGAGTCAGGGTCACCAGATGGACAGATTCTCAATTCTCACTGGGGAAGTTGTATTTCACCTTTTAGTCTTTTTCTTCTATTCTGCTTATTTGTATTTATTTGAAATAGAGACCTATCTGCTGGCTCATTCCCCAGATGTTCTCAACAGTCAGGCCTGGGCCAGGCTGTAGCCACAAGCCTGGAATTCAGTAAGGGTCTCCCATGCAGGTGGCAGGAACCCAGCTCCTAATCCCCTCCCAGCACTGCACTAGCAGGAGGCAGCACTGAAGTACAGGAGCTGGGAGCCGAACCCTCGGATGTAGAATGTAGTGCAGTCAGTGGCAGCTTAATAGCTGCACCACACACCTACCCTCCTTTCCTTTTTAAGATTTATTATTGTATTTGGGAGAGTGGAAGAAGGAAAGGCAATGAGAGAGGTATTTCATTTGCTGGTTCACTCCCTAAATGACCACCATGGCCAAGCTGGAGCCAAATGGTAGCGAGGAGGCAGGAGCTTCATCCACATCTCCCACGTGGGTAGCGGGGGCCCAAGCACTAAGTCCACTTTCCACTGTTTTCCCAAGTCAAAAACAGAGAGCTGGGCCCGGCACGGTGGCGCAGTGGTTAAGGTCCTCGCCTTGCACGCCCGGGATCCCATATGGGCGCCGGTTCTATCCCGGCAGCCCCGCTTCCCTTCCAGCTCCCTGCCTGTGGCCCGGGAAAGCAGTCAAGGATGGCCCAAAGCTTTGGGACCCTGCACCCGCGTGGGAGACCCAGAAGAGGCTCCTGGCTTTGGATCGGCATAGTATCGGCCGTTGCGCTCACTTGGGGAGTGAATCATCGGACGGAAGATCTTCCTCTCTGTCTCTCCTCTCTGTATATCTGCCTTTCCAATAAAAAAATAATAAAAATAAATCTTAAAAAAAAAACAGAGCTAGATGGAAAGTAGAGCATCTGGGACTTGAACTAGCTCCAGAGTGGTATGGTACCATTGCAGGTAGCAGTTTTACTGGCCATACCACAGTGCCAGCCCCATGGCCCCGCCTTTCCAGTATATGTCATCAGCAATGATCCCAAGGAGCCTCTTGAATTTCTCTAACTGATGACCATGAAGCCCATCTTCCCATCTGTTGCCCAGAATCACAAAGCCATTTTAAAAACATTTATTTTTATTAGAAAGGCAGATTTAGAGAGAAGGAGAGACAGAAAGAACTCCACTGGTTCACTCCCCAAGTGGCTGCAACAGCCAGAGCTGAGTCAACCTGATGCCAGGAGCCAGGAGCTTCTTCTGAGTCTCCCACGTGGGTGCAGGGTCCCAAAGTTTTGGGCCATCCTCTTCTGCCTTCCAAGTGTCCAGGCAAGGAGCTGGAAGGGAAGTGGAGCAGCTGGGATATAAACTGGCACTCATATGGTATCCTGGTGTGTTCAAGGCGAAGATTTAGCCACTAGACCATTGCACTTGGCCCAGATTCAGTCTTACACTTTCTTCTGGAATGTCCCAGGTCTGCACTTAAGTGCACAGGTGTCATTGAGAATTTTCCTCACAGTTGCCTGGGTATTGCAGCATATCATGATCTCTCTCCACCTGTCAGCAGATCTGATCTCTTCCAGGTAACAAGAGGCCTCTGGTCCCACAAAGACAACTGTTTGCATGTTGACAGCTCTCACCTTCTCTACCCAGGGTTGCCCTACCTGGTGGTCAGAGCTCCTCATTCCCTCTGGAGGACTGTCCAGAGGACTCCCCTCTGGCCCTGTTTATCAAGAACCTTCACTATCTTCACACAGTGTCCAACATCCACTACCCTTGCAAGTCGGAAGGGTTCTCCCACGACTAAGCCAGGACCTCATTTTGGTTTCCCCCTTGTGGCTTGCAGAATGACCCAATTCCCATCTGGGAGCACTGAGTTCCACCATTCCTGCTCTGCAAGTAATAGGTTTTATTTTTCTTTAGTCGATGGAGGCAGGTCCCAAGGAAACTCAATGCTGACATCTTTGTCTCTGACCAGCATGTTGGCGGTGCCCCACCTCTCCTAGAGTGACAGGAGTGACATGTTTCCCCATGTCCCAGGGAGTTTTATTCACGTGCTCACCTCTGAGCATCTCTGGGTCTTCCACTTGCCAGGGGTGCTTCTCTCTTGGGAAGTAAGCAGATGTGAGGTGTTCTCAACTCCTCTACTGACTATCATGAGCCCTTCTGGTCCTGGCCCAAGTGCTAAGAGACTGCAGCATAACTATTGAGTGTCAGGCCATATACATGTATGTATGTATGTGTGTGTGTGTATAATATTTGTTCCTATATATGTTCATTACACATGTTATATGTTCATTATATATAATATATAACATATAATGTATAATAAACTTTCTGATTTAGATGGAGATCTGCCATCTCCTGGCTCACTCACTCCAGATGCCCACAGCAGCCAAGCATGGGCTCTGTGAGTGGCAGGGAGCCACCTAAGTTCCTACTTTCTGCCTCCCAAGATGTGCACCGGCAGGAAGCTACAGTTGAGATCAGAGCTGGGACAGGCACCCACTGTACTGGCATCCCAAATTGCATGTAACCACGGCAACACATGTCAGCCCTAGGCCCCGTTGGCTTTCCTGAGTGTCAGGCTATGCCTGACAAATAACTAAAAAGACTTTGGAAAAATAGTTCAAGAAATCGTAACAAGGATTTAAGAACTGATATTACAGTTTTCCAGCTGTTGAAGGAAAGATTACTCAGTGTCTTTAAAGTAGGATTTTTGTGGGTATAAAAGCACTATAGCATTTAGGTCCATGAGAATTATCTAAAAGAATGATGAACATTTTATTGTAAATGTTGATATGTACAATTTTTAGAAATCATGACAAGTGCAACTAAAATTTAAATATATGAAAATGTTGGTATAAACTTTAAAATGAATGATAGCACCTAGTTTTTAAAATTTTACTTTCATCTACTTTAAAGAGAGAGCAGAAGAGTGAGACAGTGAGAAAGAAGTGTTCCATCTGCCAATTGACTCCTCAAATGCCTGCAGCAACAGGAAGTGGGTCAGGCTGAAGTCAAGAGCTTGGAACTCAGCCCACGTCTCCCTCCCAGTGTCTGCAGGAAGCTGGCCACCGAAGCAGGGGCTTAACTCCCTATACCACAATGGCTCCATCCTCCAGCTGCCCTGGTCCCTGGTTTGGAACACCATTGTAGGAGGCAACACAGACAGTTCTAGAAGATGGCATTGCTCACCCTGCTGAACCCACCCAGGCTTCTAGAAGGCACCACCCAAAGTGACAAGGAGACCGGGGGCTGCCAAACAGATACCTAGAGGGAGAGTGGCTGGGCTCCCTCCCTTCTGGTTCAGGAAGAAGAAAGGAGACCAGGGCAGCTGGAGGATGGAGTACTGAGCCCCATGTCTTTTCCCCAAGAAGACGCTCCCCGAGTAGGGTTCAGAGCACTTTGATAGCCAAGGGGGTGTGCTGGGGAACTAGTGTGGGGAGAGCGCAGGAGTGCTGCTTCTCACCTGTTGTAGCAAGTCTCTGCCCCAGCATGCAGGTACCAAAGCAGCACAGCCTGGCAGGGCTTCATCTTCTCTGTGGTCCCAGGTGGTTTGGGATCCATAACAGGAGGAACCCTGTGCTTTGCTCAGGAGAAAGCCAATGCCGGCTCCCTTCTCACCACAGCTCCCAGCAGAGTCCTGGTTAGAGACCCAAGGCCCCGGGCCTGCTCCAAGAAGACCCCTCATGTCCCTGCTGTGATGCCCGGGTCCCGTCAGGCCCTCTGCCTATATATTCACTTCTTCACACCCCTTGTCTTACTTTCTATGTAGTCCTTTCATATAGTGACATAATGGGATGAAAAATCAGACATTGTCGAACATTCGGAACTCAATAGTCTAAACGTACTGCGCATCACAGCCAATAGCTGTGTGAACCCCTTAGCTACTTCCTGAGTGAGCCCCTGCCCCAGGCATCTCATTCCTGCCCCACTAAGTTTGGGAAAACCTCAGAGGCAGGTTTCACTCTTGCTTTTTTTCTGAGTATCCAAGCTTCCTCAATCCTGCATGACCAGGCCCTGGGCCACTACCTCTCTTTCACCATCATCACCCAATGTAGGGGATGAGCCCTGGGCCCTCAAAGTCTTGGGACCCTGCCTGCTCTGTTCCGACCCATCTTAATGCAGCATCTTGTCTCCTTTTCACTGACAAGGCATTTCTTCCTTTCTGGAGGCCACCCTACCTCACCAGGTGCACACAGGACTGCCTCCCTGGCTACATTATGCACACCAGCTTCTGAGGCCCCCACACCCTCACGAAGAACACTGTTTGTCTTTGGGGCCTGGGCTGTAAAAAAGAAGAAAGACAAACCTCACATTCTACGGAGCTCAGGCCAGGAGGGAAACAATCTGTGTCAAGAAGCACCGAGGGCCAGAACTGTGCTCCAAAGGGGTTCAGCTGCTGCCTGCTACAAGGAAGCCCGTATGGGTGTCTGTTAGGGACTCGGGTCCCTGTATGTGCTTGGGAAAGCTGCGGAAGATGACCAAGTGCTTTGGCCCTTAGATTCCTGTGGGAGACCCCAGAGAAGGTCCTGGCTCCTGGTTCCGCCCAGGTGCACTTGGGCAGTGAACCAGTGGATGGAAGATGCGCCTTTCTTGCTCTCTCTATATAGCTCTAACATTCAAATCTTTAAAAAGAAACACCAACTTGCTCTAGTGTGAGATGCTGTCGGTGTGGGAGGGGACAAAAGACAACTCCTACTCTGGGGAGGACTGGCGAGGGAAAGGCTTCCAGACTGCCCAGGTGGGAGGAGTGGGCCTGAGCAGAGGTGCAGTGGTAGAGAAGCAGGAACAGGCACCCAGGAGACCAGTCAGAACCCTGTCTTCAGCGAGCAGAGGCCAGGTCTGGAGGCAGCAACCACTGAATCTGTGCAAGGGGAGATGGGCCTGAACTCGGGCATGGGGCAGGAGAGGGCTCAGTTGGAGTGGCAGACCTAGTAACACCCCTGGACCCTGTAAAGGGGCGGGGACAGAGGTCATGGAAATACCAGCAGCGAGCTGGTGGGCTGGGGATAGAGCTCCGTTTGATAAGCATGGACAGGGGCCCCGCAGACTCAGGAAGGGACCCAGAACTTGAGCCAGTGTTGGCAGGAAGGCAGGTGTGGCACGAGGACCGTGTGCATCCAGGGAAAGATGTAGGCGCAGGGCCAGATGTGTCCAGGGAAGGCATGGGGGCATGGGGCTAGGTGTGGGTATAGTGACTGTATGTGTCCTGGGAAAGATGTGGGCATGGTCAGGTGTGCCCCAAGGAAGGTAAGGGCACTAGGGTATGGTGTGCTCTGGGCAGGCATGCAGTTCCCCGAGGCTGCGTCTGTTTGCCTCCCCAGAGCCAGGCACACCTGTGCTCCTAGCGTCTGCACAAGCAGGCAACCGAGACGTGGCCTCATTTCTTATAAATTTATTTCATAATATTATAATAATTATCAATAATAATAATAATATAAGAAACATAGATCTCTGTGGGGTGTATCACAACGTCAGGGTCAGGAGGCCTCGGGACTGGAGCGGGGGAAGCCCCCGGATTGAGCTCCATACAAAAGGAGGGGTGAAGCGAAACTGACCCTGTCAAGTTAAAAACCCAAATGGAACGGAACCTAAAACCCACAGGTGAGTGTGAGACAGTGTGTGGCAGTCTCCTGGCGACTGCTGCGGGACCTGGTGTGTCTGACGGCGTGGGTGCGGCTCTGCCCGGGGAGTGGGCCCGTGGGTGGGGGCGGGGCAGGCGTGCCAGGCCCCTGGGCTGTGAACTTTTTTTTCCTTTTTATTAAAAAAAGCTAGAAATATAAACAGAAACTTGTGAGTGACGTGGATGGAGCTTAGTCCAGACTCCAAACCCTAGGTTTAAAAACGCCCCAGGACCCCCACCCCACGGGCCATGGCCGACCGTGAGGAGTCACAGTAAGGGGGGGCTGGGCGCCCTCAAGGGTCTCTGACTCTCTCTAGGACCCTGAAATGCCCTCAGGAGCCCAAAGGGGAGTGCTGCCTCCAAGGGGATCTTTGGGGCCACTCCAGGGGTGCAGCTCTGGACGGCCAGGCTGGGCCAGCAGTGGGAGCCAGGGGTAGGGCCCCCGACTGCAGCCTGCGGCGGCTCCCAGGGGCCACCGAGCACTTGGGCACGCCCAGGGCTCCCGCCACATCCAGCTCCACCCGTGCGCACGTGTGTGCGCACAGGGTTGGGGCCCAAGGCAGGGGAGCTTCTCTGCTGTGGATGCCCGAAACGCAGGAGGAGGGGGAGACCCTGTGAGGAAGACGGCTGGGGACGGGGCGTGGAGTGCTAAGCCCACGCCCTGCCCCCAGGCCACGGGGTGGGCCGCCTGCCGCCCCTCCCTCGAGCAGCACCTGCAGGATCGATGGGGCTCGGATGGGGCTCCGCGAGGAAAGGGGCCGAGCAAACGGAACCCCCGGGCCCGCCACCAGGACCCTGGCCAACCCCAGACCAGCTGGAGCGTCCCCTGCCCTGCGAGGGTCGGCAGTGGCAGTGAGGGGCCGGAGATGGAAGACTGGGCTGGGCAGTGGGGCCGGGAAGAGGGGCTGCTAGGGACAGAGATATTTGTTCCTTGTCTCGCTCCGGATATTGAGTGGATTAGAGTATGCAAACTGGGGGGTCCTTAGCCCCCGCCGAGAACCCCAGTGTTTCCCTCCCTCCCCCCGAGTCGCCAAGGCGTGTTCCGGCCTCGCATGCTGGACTAGGTTCCCGCTCCGGGCGAGGGGCCACCAGGAGCTACGAAGGCGGCGGTCAGGGCAGAGCACCGCACCACAGGCCCTCCCGCCCGGCCCCCACCCACCCCCCCACCCCCGGTCTGTGCCCTTTCCCGCCTGTGCGCGGGGCCAGGCGCTAAGCAATGTACAGGGCAAGTCTCCGAGCAACAGCAAACAGGACGATTCATGCAACATTCCCGGCCCGGGCACCTTCTCGGGGCGGGCCGAGCCCGCGGCCCGGGGAGGAGGAGGAGGCCCTGCCGGCAGGGCGCGGCAGGGGCGGGGGGGTCAGCTGCCCTCCAGCTGCCGCAGAGCACGCTCGATGTTCATGCGGTGGCCCACGCGTGTGACGCCCAGCTCCACGAAATCCTCCTTGGTGAGCGCAGGCAGGTGTGCGCCCTCGATCTCGTGGTCCTCAAAGCGGTCACGGTGTTCGCCAAGGTGGATACTCTCCAACCAGTCGCCCACGTCGAATTTGCTCCACAGCTGTAGCGGCTTCTGCTGGAAGGGCCGGCGCGGGCCAGGCGCGCCAGGGCCTGGGCCAGGCGCAGGCGAGGGCAGCGGTGACGGGGACGGTGACCGGCTGCGAGCGCTCACACTGCGAACCACGAAGCGCACCTCCTTGGGCTCGTGTGGAATGGAGAGGCTGGACGACTTGAGGATGGTGGGGGGCGTGAGGCCAAAGGGCCGCCCAACGCCCCCCGCGCCCGCACCCAGCCCCTCCACCCGCTCGAGCGACGCGGGCTTCACTGGGCTCGGGGCACGCCGCGCCACGGGGTAGCGGCCACCTGGCCGCACCGAGTAGGAGGCCGTGCCGCCAGGGCCCCCTGGGCTGCGCTGCGCTGAGATGGTGCTCAGCTCACCGAGGCTGCTGAAGAGCCTGTGGAGGGAGAGGGGGTCAGGACGAGGTGGGGGCACAGAACCAGGTGGGGAAGGGCAAAAGGGAGAAGGAGAACAGGCCAGGGGGAGGAGGCTAGGGCTGGGGGAAGGGGGAAGGGAGCAGGAACAGGACATCCTGGGCTACTAAGGTGCTCTGGTGTGGCCGCTAGGGTTGGAGCTGGAGCCTGGCTCTGGCAAAGCTCTGGACTCCCTTGGCCCTCTCCCTCCACGGAGGCTCCACAGGCAGTTCCTGCCCAAGGACTGGCTGTCCCCTCCCTGCCAGACAGCCTTGGATATGGAACCACACACAGATCTGGCTGCAGACCCAGAGCCTCTGGGGAGTCAGAGGCCAGGTGGAGACTGGCAGCAGTGCCCAGCTGGACAGGCCCCTGGCACAGCGGACACCCAGTGGCATCCACACCCACATGGAGTGGCAGCATGTGTAGCACAGAGCAGTATGTGATAGCAGCAGTGGTGACCCATGTTACAGACACAACAGCCCTCGGGTACACACAAACACACGTTGCAGACACATAGTAGCACATGCATGGGCCACACACCCATACTGCACACAGCAGGAAACACCTGCACGCAGCACATCACTGCCCAGCCCCACCTGACAGCACCCGGACCTCTAACCCCTCTTCAGGATGGCCACAAGAGGACTGTGCCTGAGCAAAATCCACTCCCATAACCCCGATTCCCATCTCCACCTGTACCCCTTCCTCTTACTGTGGCCAGGGGTGGGTCAGAGGCTGTTAGGGACACCCAAGCCCCAGTCAGCCATGCAGAGACGAGACCCAGGCATGACCCATGGACTGCAGGAGGCATGGGATGGACGTGCTCACTTACACAGCCGGCGCTCGGGACCACCGCGCAGCAACACAGAGAGCCACATGCAGATGGGCAGGAGAGAGCAGTGAGAGAGAGTGTTAACAGGCCAGGGGCCAACGGCCAGGTGCGCGAACCCCCGGCCAGCATCCTACAGAGGGAGGAACTAGGGGAAATGGGCCCAGCTGCTACGGTGGGAGGAACTGAGTGGCCCCATTTGTGTGGAACCAGCTGTTGCTGACGAAGCGCTCCGCAGGCTCCTGATTCTTGCTGGAGCTGAAGCTATTCCACCCCACACACGCTGTCAGAGTGGCCTCTCTCCAGCTACCATCCTTCTCTGCCCCCAGCCCAGCCTAGGCCAAGGATCCTACATCTGGGCTGCCACCCACCTTTGTGCTCTCCTGGCCATAGCACTGCAGAGCCCACCACACACCAGCACAGGCTCCCTCCCCTCAAACCAGGCTTGGCCTCACATGTTCCCCCAGGGACATGGCCCCTCTTCCCTCCATTGTCCCTACTGCCTCTTCCCAACTGTTCAGAGCTGCTCCATGCCCCCAAGGGAGATGGGGCCCCAGGGACAGGGACCAACCTAAATCCAAGCTCTGCAGAGTCACTGGAGCTTCAGGGCAAAACAGAACAGCAGCTGGCAGCTGTGCCAGGTGGTATGGGTGTTGTAGCCCATGGTGGTGTGATGACAAGAGAGATTGAGAGAACTGTGCCTCTAGGACCAGACAAACTGGAAGACCAGGAACACAACTCCCCACCTCCTGGTATGGCCCTGGCTGGGGGCCTGCATCACCAGATGCCTACCCTGCCCCTGCCCCATGGTTCCAGTTTCCATGTTTTTGTCTGTCAGTACAGTCTTAGGGTGAGCAAGCTGAACAGCAAAGGCAGCATAGGTGCACCTAGTCATCTGGAGTGGGTGGAGCAGAGCTGGGCCTGTCTGGGTGTGCAGGGGCCTAGGCGGGGGGCAGACTGGCTCAAGGCTTCTGGAGGCCGGGAACTGGGAGCTGGAAACAGGCACCACTAGGCTAGGAGTCAGGGAGTCACACTCCTATCACCTTCTAGGCATCCAAAGACAGCGGGGGTATGGTGGTCTTCGTCCATGCCCAAGTCCAGAGAGGAAGCCCTGGTGCAGCCAAGTGTCCAAGGAAAGCTTAGCCAAGGTCTGAATCTTGTGGTGTGTCCCAGGGACTATGGCCACTGGGGCCAACCCCTGAGGCTGCCAACGCCATTGGCAGGACTCCCTGACACCTGTTCATGGCTTCCTCTTCCCCACATGGATGTTTTTTGCAATTTTTCCTGGGCCCCTGCTGTATGATGGCTCCTTGCTTCCTCCCAGCCCTGCTGTGGCCCAGGGTCCCCATGCCTGTTCCTGTTACTCCTTCCTATGGTGCTGGGCAGCATGTGGCCTTCAAAAACAGAGATGAGGGAGGAGATCAAGGAAATTTCCGGGAACTGGGACCAGGATGCCAAGGAGGTCATGGTGGACACCTCTGCCAGGACTGGTCAGGGAAGAAGACAGTCACACCTGGACACCAGAACTTCCCATGTTGTGGCTACTTTTTGAAAAGACAGTGGACTAGGGGCTGCCGGTGGGGCACAGCAAATGAGGTCACTGCCTGCAGTGCCAAAATCTGTCATGGGCACTGGGTTGAGTCCTGGCTGCTCTGCTTCCTATCCAGCTCCCTGCTAATACACCTGGGAGAGCTGTAGAGGATGGTGGGGATCTGAGAGGTGCTTGAAATCCTGCACCCATATGGGAGACCTGGAAGAAGTTCCTGACTCCTGGCTTTTGACTGGTTCAGCTCCGGCCACTGCAACACATTTGGGAAAAGAAACAGTGGCTGGAAGAGCTCTCTGTCTCTCCCTAACTCAGTCCTCCAAAGAAATAAATCTTAGATAGTTGTGCAGCAGTTTTATCCAGACGCAGCCAGAGGCAGCTGCAGAAGGGTGTCCAGGCATTCCTGATGGCACCGCAGCCACAGCTGGACACGAAATCCTCATCTGATACAGGGCTAGGTGGACACAGCCACAGCACTCAGTGCTCAGCACCTTTCCTGTAGCCAGACAAGGGGACCCTTGGACCCCAGAGAGATGGCCCAGGGGTCTCTCCCACAGGGGTCTGTGTCCGTGCCCTAAGCCACCTCTCAGAGCTCACATTCCAGGGCCCAGCAACTGCATTCAGCCTCACCATCCCCATCCCTGTACAGGCATGGGGCCGGGTTTGAGGTACACCTGGCTGGCTTCGATTTACATGGGATGGAGAGGCAGTGAGAAACAAAGGGAGCAGACATAGGGGACATGGCCAGTCTGGGTCAGGACACCTCATCCTAGGGACCTTGCTGGGAACGTTCCCTGAGTGCAGCTGGGAGTAGCCTCCAGCACATCTGAGGGGGTCTCTGCGAGTGTCCCAACCCCCCACATATCCTGTGTACCCACAAGTGGAAGCAGGCAGAGTGGACAGGCCATTGGAGAATCTTCCATTCTGGTTCCTCCCAACTCTGAGCTTTGCCTTCCAAGTCTGAAAGGGCTCAAGGGGGGATCAGAAAGCAGCACCTCACACCCTAGCCCTACTCAACCCAGGACCACCCCCAGAAAGCTTGAAAATAGGGAGGAGGGCTGGCTGGGCATGCCTGGCTCTGCTCCAATGCCCATATAGCCCACAGACCCAAGTGGCCCTCTAGGAGGGGCCTGGGGGCGGGGTCCTCAGGCAAAGACCTGAGAGGTTACCCTGAAGGCACAGAGCAACAACAGGCTCAGCAGACCCAGCCCTGTGCCAGCCACTCCCCCCACGACCCCATGCTGCAGCTGCAGAGAGGGATGGGGTAGGAGATGGTGAAAGGGCAAAGATGTGGCCTCCATGTGTTTTGCACAAATCACACACAGGACTTGGAGAACAAGGGGAAGACCCAGGAAGGAATTCAGTCCCCGAGACAAGAACCTCCAATGGAAGCCGGGCAGGTGCCATGCGGGGCCAACCGAGAGGGTGGTATGAAGGGGCATGTAGTAGAGCCACAGGGCAGCCCCTTGAGGACTGTGACAGTAAGTGAGGTCTCTGGCCTGCACCAGCGGCCCAGGTGTTTCCAACACCCTAGAGGGCCTCTGCATTCTTGGGCCAGGTGAGGGTGGGGAGGGAGGCACAGACAGGTGGGATGGGACAGGAAGGAGACACAGGGGGTTAGAGATACAGACAGGCCCTCCCCCAGCACCCCGCTCACCGAGCTGCTGCAATGGGAGACTTCTTGGCTGGGTCCAGCAGGCTGCCCAGGCCACCCGCTGGCTCCTCCCCCAGGGAGCGTGCATCTTTGTTGAGTTGTTGCAGCCGGGAGCTGAGCTCGCTGATCACGGCTGGCCGGTCATCTTCAGGCCCAGGGGACCCCCGGCTCTCCACGGGGTCCCCCCACAGCTTGGACCTTCTCTGGAAGAGGTAGCGAGGGCGGGCGGGCCCGGCAGAGGCGGCATGGTGCTGGGGGGCCGTGAGCTCGCTGTCTGAGGACTGCTTCAGCAGGGGGTCCCTGAAGGTCACCGGCCCCTTCCCCAGGGGGGACTTGAGCTTGGGCTTGGGAGGCACTGGCGGCTTCTCGAGTAGAAAAGTGTGTCCATCGGCGAAGGAGGTGTGAGTGTCAGTGAGCTCCCCACTTTCAGAGCTCAGAGTGGACATGCTGGACACTGTGGAGATGGTGCTTGTGGTCTCCAGATGGGGGTCACTGGAACTGCGTGTGTCGGCCTCCTCCACACCTGAGTCGGCCGCCGACTCGGGCGCAGGGGGTGGCTCACTGCCAGGCTTCCCTGAGGCCGGGCTGGGCACTGTGGAGGGCGGGGGCCCCGGGCCAGGTGGCGGTGTGGCCAGCAGGATCCCATTGGCAAACTCTTCCGGGGGCGGCACCAGTCCGATGCGGGCCAGCTCCTCCCGGGTCTCCTCATCACTGGAGGACAGCTGGGCAGGCGGGAGACTCACAGCAAACACCAACTCTGGCTCCTCCTCAGAGCTGCCCTGGCCATGCCCTGGGTCCACTGGGGTGCTGCCAGCAGGCTGGGCCCTGGGACTGGGCAGGGGCTCTGCCACGGCTGTTGTCACCGTGGTGGGCATGGGGGCTGGGGCCCGCTCCGGGGTGCCCGGACGCTGCTCTTCAGCCCCCAGCCTGCTGGGCTCCTGCCCGTTGCTGGTGGCATGCACCACGATGAGGCCGGCTGGCCGCTGCAGGGAGGTGTCCAGGACGCTGAGGATCAAGGATTTCTTGTCCTCAGGGGACTTGCGCTCTTCCCGGGGTGCCTTCTCTGCCTCCCTGCGGACTGGCACAGGAATCCAGGCTGGGCTTCGTGGGGAGAAGGCCGGGGAAGCCATGGTTCCCCGCTCTGAGTCTCGGGCCTGCACATCCACAAACAGGGGTCCTGGGCGATCAGCATCAGGGCTGTGCACTGGAGTGGGGGATCTCGAGGGTGCCTGGGAGGCTAGGGCCCGCTCCCGGGCAGCCAGAGCGAGGGCCAAGGGTGAGCTGGGGTCCAGGGGTTTGCCAGTAAGGGGGTGGATGAAGGTGGAACCCGCAGGTGTCAGGCTTGGGGCGCTGACCAATGGCTTCAGAGCGGATACAGGGGAGGGCAGCAGCAGGTCACGGCCAGGAGTGGCGGCTGGGCCCAGCAAGCGCTCATCAATGGACCGCGAAGGCTGCAGAGATGGCAGCTCAGCGCTGGGTGGGCTGCCTTCAATGGCACCCACTGATAAGAACACTGTGGAACGGCGCCGCTCCTCCAGACGCCGGTCCTTGGCCGGGCCTGGTCCCCCAAACGCGAGCCCGAGCCCATCCTCGGAGCCATAATCAAGGCCACTGGGCCGCGGCCCGCGGTGCGTTGGGGATGGCTCACGAGCAAAGCTGCCACCTCCAGGGCCAGGGCTACCCACAGCCAGTGCTGCACGCTCCTGTGCATCCTCCACCTGCAGCTGCTTCACCAGCGGACTCTTGCGGCGCTGCGGCTTGGATGGTGTGAAGAGGCTGGCGCTGAAGGCGCCCAGGTTGGCATAGGGGCTGTCGGGCCCCGGTGGGCGGGGCCGGCGCTTGGGGCGCTCAGGCGGTGTGGCCGCTGGCGGGGGTCTGGGGCCGTCGCTCGTCTCGGGCGCAGAGTCCTGCAGGATGATCATGGAACGTGCGCGCTTCTGCCGTTCCGGGTAGGGCAGCGGGCCCAGGGCAGCGCCAGGCTCATAGAGGCCTGCAGTGCCTGCACCCAGGCGCGCCTCCAGGCCCGGCTTGAAACTGGAGCGCACTGTGTCATAGGCTCGGCCCGGTGGCGGCGGTGGTGGCGAGAAAGCGGGTGGTGGCCCCGAGTCGTAGTAGTAGGGGGCAGGCGGGGGCGGGGGTGCGGTCTGCGGCGGGGGCGGGATGCCACGGCCCTCCCGCACTGAGTCCTGCATGGACGTGCTCCGGGGAAAACGCCCCTCCAGTAGGGAGGCCAGCTTCTCGTCCTCCCCTGCAAATAAAGGTCTTTGTGAGGCTGGCTGGGGAGGCGGGGGCCAGGCCTAGCCCCAACTCAGCTCCAGATGCCACGCAAGGCCTACAGACAACCCAGCAGGGTAGGCTGCCACTACCCTGACACTGACCCCACCTCTGAACACAAGGGTTAATGTGGCTGTGAGGTGGGTGAAGGTGGCACCCAGCAGTGGAAGCTCTGGGACGGACCCTCACCTGGACCCAAGACCACCCCTAGAAAGGATGGCCCCAAGGCACTGGGCAGAACTGGAAGGGAGCCAGCGGCATCTGTCAGAAGCAGCCGAGGGTGGGAGGGGGTGAGCAGGTCAGAAGGGCTGTGGTTGGATGACACACTGACAAGTGAGGGGAGGAGGAAAAGGGAGGTATCCTGGGTACCCAGGGCCTGTGATGCACAGCCCCCTCCAAGCCTCAGTTCACCAGGAGCAGCCCCTTCGCACCCACCCCAGCCTGCCCGGTGCCAACAGCACCAGGTCTATGTAGGCCTCATTAAGATCCTCACCATTCTGTGTAAAAGCTGATGGCCAGACCTAAGGACAGCGGCAGTACTGGATACTAGGCCTCAGGGACTGTGGTGCCCCCTGCCATGCACTCTGCCCATCCTCCCATGGTGCTGACCAGGCCATGGCAGTTTGAGGCCACAAGCACAGGCTGTGGAAGGTGGGCTTGAATTCTGCCCTGGTATTTTTCAGCCCCTGGGAGCTTCAGTTTCCCCTTCTCATGTGGACTGCCTGTCCCAGCTCAAGGTCATCTAAACTCACAGCAGGACACAGGTCAGCCTGGGGAGCTCCAGAAGGGGCTGGGCGCAGACACTGCACTGCCAGTGAGGCACTGCCTGAGATATGCATATCCTTTGTCACAGTGACAGCTGGAGTCCCAGCTCCCTGCTAATGTGCTTGGGAGAGAGCAGGTGATGGCTCAAGGCTTGGGTCCCTGCACCTATGTGGACGACCCAGACAGAGCTCCTTGCTCCTGGGTCCAGCCTGGCCCAGCTATTGCAGCCATTTGGAAAGACAGACAGTAGATGAAAGATGGACAATCTTTCTCTCTGCCTTTCCAAGAAACACATAAACAAATCTTTAAATCAAATACGAGCACCTGTTAGCTCACGCAGCAGCTAAGCACAGGAGGTGCAGGAGGGCCCGTGGGAGGAGACCGGCTCTGCCAAGAGACTCGGGCTGCAGAGGCACCTGGATCTGGACCTGCAGGGGGCAGCTCTGGGACTGAGCACAGGCCGTGCTGGCTGAGGGCAGCAGGGAACAGCAAGGGAAGCCCGGGGTCGCAAGTCCCTAGGGCCCTGAAGCACCAAGGAGCCCATGGGCTAAGGGTAAGGGTGACAGGCATGCTGAGGAGGCATATTTGGGCCAGAGGAGCCAACTAGAGGGCAGAGCCAGCACAGGAGACCCTGAGGAGAAGGAAGCCATTGTCCACGTGAATCGGCCATGGCCCTGGTCAGACAGGGCTTCCCATCCCCAAAGCAGAGGAGGTAGAAGAGAGAGAAAATCCCACAGATGAACACAGAGCTCAAGGGGAGGAAGAACAACCTCATGGACCCAAACCAGCTGCTGTCTCACCAGACTTCTTCCCCACCTCCCACCCAGGGAGCCGTGAGGGTCCCGAAGGACAGTGCCAGACATCCGCATCTTATATACTCCACCCTGATCAGCAGTCAGCTCTGCTCTCCAAAACTTCCTACTTCACCCATCTAAGCTAAAGGTCCCCCAACACACACCCACACATGTATGCACATGATACATACAACACACACGGGAATGCAGATATGCACACATGTGTGGACATATATCACACGTGTATACCCACACCATGCACAAGCACACACACATGTACACACCCAGATGGATACACATATACACATGCACATACTCCACCACACACAATATACATGCACAATGCATATACCACATGATACACAATAAATGTGCATGCACAAATACACAATGCTCCACACGATACACACATGCACACATACATAACGCACATGGGCACACACAGCAGACACATGTGCATATGCAATACAATGCACACACAGCAGACACGTCCATTATAATATATAATACACACATGCACATACAACAGACACACGTACACATGTGCACACACAGCAGGCACACGTGCATACACACATACATGGCAGCTTTGCTTGATCCCCAGGTGTGAGCACCCCATACACAGGTCCTGATACCACTACCTAACTGCTGAGCTAACTCAGACCTGACTTGGCCCAGTCCAGGGGTGAAGTGATCAGTGAGGGGTGCACAGAGCCTGACAGACAGGTGGGGTGGTGATATGACCCCAGCAGAGGTGTCCTTATGGACAAAGCAAACTCCTGCTGTTACTCTGCAGGCCACAATGACACTACAGGAGCCAAACATCCTCCCTACCCACCCCCCCGCCAAGCACTGAGGTGCCAGCAGATAGTGGTGTGGTGTGGTGTGCAGAAGAGGGAGCCTGGGCAGAGGCCTGTGGATGTCCCCATGTGGAGCCAGGAAAGCAGAGGCCAAGGATGGGGCATGACCGGGCTGGGAGGGGAGGCAGAGGACGCAGCCTGGAAAATGGCCCACATGGCAGCAGCCAGCTCAGCCAGCACTGAGCAAGTGAACAGGGAGCTCAGGCAACATCCCTGGACCCCAAAGAGAAGATAACCAGTCGGGGTCAGGGGATAGGAAGGCCATGCCCGTTTATATCAATTTCCTCTCTAGGCAGGACTAAGGATGGGATGAGCAGTGTAGCTAGGGAAGGACACAGGGCACCTGGGGACAGCGACACTGGTAGCCTAGGGGAAGCAGGATGGGTAGGAAGGGGAATGCCAACCCCCAGGCCACCCACAGCTGAGATTCCTGAGCGGAGAAAGAAAAGGCTGGGTCCTCCCAACTGTGCCCCAGCTGCTGCAGTCCCCTAGATCAGCCATACCTACAGACTTGGTCCGTGGAATCCCCTTCCGCAGAGAACCTGGCAGCTTCTCTGGGCCGGGGAGGCCTTGGCGTTCAAACAGTGACTGTGGGGGAAGCAGGGGAAATGGAGAGTTCAAGGCAAAGAGGCCCAAGTTCTGTACCGACCCCACGCAAAGCCATACCATTCCGTCCATGGTCCATGCTCTGGCTGCTGGCACTGAGCAGGGCCTACACACAGGATCAGCCCAAGGCCCCCAGGCCCACACCTGCTTGGGCTCTGCCCCCATACCTCTAGGTTCCCGGGGCCCTACCTATCTGGGCTCTGCTCCCCAGGTCCCCAGCTGCCTGGGCGCTGTCCCCTAGGCCCCCAGCTGCATGGACTATGCACCCCAGGCCTGGCTCTTGTCCACTTACACTGATCTCGGCAGGGGTGATCCTCCGACTGGTAGGTCTCTGCTTGACTGTGGCGGCCCGGGAGTCGGCATCCGCGATGTCCGGCCTCAGAGTTGGCTCTGCAGCGGCTGCCAGGATCTCATCCAGTTTCTCTGTGCAGCCAAGGAGATGGCCCTGCTTCAGCACCACCCCAAATCCAGCTGCCCCACCCCACCATGTTGACAGCAGTAAGGCTACATCCCACTCATGCCTCCAGATGACTCTGCAGACTCCTCCTGAACAAAGCCCATTCTGACCCCAAGGGGAAGAGTTAGGGTGGGGGCAGGACCCTCAGCATCCACTCCAGGGGGTTAGCCACTCCAGCAGCAACTGCTGGGGACAGGACCTAATGTACAGGAGGTTAGGGCGGGAAATGAGTCAGCCATGGGCAGATGGGGTTACTGTGGCTGGGGACCTGTACCTTGCAGCTGGGAATGGACTCTGAGGTACAGGAACAGTCAGCAACAGACAGGACATGGGGACACCACAGAGACCTAGCCAGGGCTCCCTGGCAAATGGGCAGCCAGGGGTCCCATTCCTCAGCTCCCTTCAGGGAGAGTTCTGGACTGCACAGGGCCACCCTTGGGGGCAGGTGACGAGGGCTAAGAAGGCAGCCAAGAGCCTCAAAGATGGAGATGGGACGGGGCTGGCATGTGATGGACAAGCTCTGTCTGCTTGGTCACTAAGAGCTCGTGTTAAGACAAAGTGGAAACCCATCACTAACAGGAGTGCCAAGGGCAGGATCCCTCTTGCCCCAAGAGACAATGGCCCTTGCCCCTGCTGGTCCACACAACTGCACCCCAAAGCCTACTCAGGACACACACAGGGATAGGACAGCACCTGTGCCCATCTGGCTGCTAGCCCAGCCCAGGACCTTCTGACCCTGGAGGAAGGCATCTCCTCAGAAAGTGCTCAGCCTGAACCCCTGTGGGAGAGCTTTGATGGTCAGTCCAGATGCCTCTTCCTCCTTGCAGCCCAGCCTGCAGCTGCCCCATGGGACCTGCTGACGCTGAGCTTGCCCTGCACCCAATCCTGACCAGGCTGACCCATCAGGTACTGGGTTCTGATTTCATCTTTCTCACCCAGTGTTTTTATCCACTACAGCAGTCCTAAGCACAGTGAGAATGAACACAGATGAAGACACAAAGAGAACATATATAAAGACCTAAGAAAAGTACAGAGATATGGTGAGAACATGTATGAAAACAGTGAACACATAGGAAGACATGGTGAAAATGAACACATATGAGAACACAGTGAAAAAGAATGTGTATGAAATTGTTGTGAGAATGAACGTACACAAAGGCATGATGAGAAGAACTATATATGAAGACAAAGTGAGAATGAAACACATATGAAGACAGTGAACAACAGGAAAATGTGGCGAGGACGAGCATGTATAAAGATATGGTGAGAATGAATACCTATGAAGACAGAGTGAACACATAGGGAGATGGTGAGAATGAGCAGATATGAAAACATGGTGAGGACGAGCATGTATGAAGACATGAGAACAACTGTGTATGAAGACGTGGTAAGAACGAGCATGTAAGGCGGCCCACAACACCATGGGCTTCACGCTGAGCCAGGGCACATCTCTCTTCATGTTGTGCATATCTCCCCAGGCACGGCAGGCCTTGGAGGACGGGCTGAGCATCCCCTCTGCTCTCTGTGTCCAGCCCCAGAACAGAACAGCATTGCTGCGGGGCTGCTGGGAGAGGTCTCCTGGGTCAGCAGGGAGCACATTCCTCCCAAGAACCATAATCCCCTCCCCACTGTGTGCTTAGGGTTCTGTGCAAAAATTCTTGCATCACCCTGTATACCCAGAAGCATGGCCCCCAACATATCAGAAAGCCAGGTATAATGACAGGAATGGACATGCATGGGAGATCCCTGCAAGAATGCCACTACTGGCACCCAACACCTCCAGGTACAGGAGAGTTGACCCCATGGACCCCAGCAGGCTGTAAGACGATGGCCTGGGGTAGGTGAGAAATGTCATCCAAAGATCAAGAGCAATATTGCTACAAATAGCAAGCCAATGAGGCCAACGAAACTAGAAAATACACTGTTAGACACTTCCCAAAGGCAGTGCAGCCTGCCCTCTACGTCCACCTCCATGGGACCACAGGGGTATGGTCAAGTCCAAGAGAGATGAGGTGTCTGCAGCATGTCCTGCCACATCCACTTCAGGGGCACAGGCCACAGCATCGTACCCTGGGGGCAGAACCAGAATTTTCCAGGAAGCTTGGCATCTGCCCCAGAGGCATGAAGGAGAAGGTCCCTGGGGGAAGCCTGAGGACTCCTCATTTGGGCTTGGGTGACAAAGACCTCAGAGGCAGGCAAGGCAGGGACTCAGTGCAGCACAGGGGAGCACACCCAGCCCTGGCAACAGGAGTGGAACCAGAGAGAGGGACCCTGGATGCAGGTACACAGATGGGGAGCAAGCATACCCCACAGCCACTGAGTCTCCTAGGGCTTCCTGTGGGCCTGAGACCTTGCCAGACGTGGCCTGGGTGACTCTGTTCTCACCACATTGTCCATCCCCAAGCCAGGCTGAACTCTCAGACTGTACGGTGAGGGGCCTCCAAGAATGAAGAAATAAGACCTGGGTGGGAAAGTTGGCAGCCTAGGGCCCCATGAGGGCCCATTTAGGAACAACCAACAAGAGGACAGATCCTCAAAAGGTGCTGTTGTACCCAGGGTTGAACACCCTGACACCCCTTCACCACTTCTCCTGCCCACTTGGCTACTTCAACTCCACCCTGGAATCGCCGCCCCACTACCCAGTCCTAGTGCTCTGAGCAGGTTCCCAGTAGGAATGCTAGCAGCAGGGCAGTACAGGTTCCCAGACCACCCAGACTCAAATGAGTCTCCTCACATACTACCAGCACCCCCAGGCCAGGGTCAAGCAAAGCTGGAGCCCTGGGGACACGAGCAGATAACTCACCCCCTTTTCTTCTCCGGATGGAGGCTTGTAATCAAGAAACAGAACATGGGGTAAGAGGCAGGTTTGTCCCTTGCACCAGCCCATTCTCTGCACATGTCCCTGCCCACCCCCCCCCCCCAAGGTTCAGGGCCTCCCAGATCTGCCCACCCAGCCCACAGGCTCTCAGGGACAACCAGCAGCTGAGCTGGTACGGACAGAGCTGAGGAACAGTCACACTGCACATCCACCTGCTGGCCGCATGTGGAGATGCATGACGGAATTACACAGGGCAAGAACTGGGATGCCATCCAACCCCAGTTCGGCCCAGTCCTGGCTGAAGAGTCACTGCCCTGCTGCCCCGACCTTGGGTCTCAGAAGGGTGGGCTCCATACCCCTCCTCTTGTCCAACTCGTCCAAGGGAGCCCCACCATCCCTTCTTGCTGCAGGCCCCATCTCAGTCTCAACACTGGCCTCGAGAGGACACTCGTTCCTTCCAGTGTCCGGATCATCTTCTCTACTACAGGATGGTAGCAGAGCAGACACATTCATGCCGCAAATGACCCAGGAGGTCTTGCTTCTCTTTTGAACTACAAAAGCTGTGTCATGGGCTGGGTGCCTGGCAGACCCTGCTGCTAAGCCTAGCTTCCTTAAACTGCTCCTTTCCAGAGGGGACTGGTCAGAGTTGTCCTGGGATCGCCAGCAGCAACAGCAAATGGCCCAAGTGCTCACAGACCCATCTGCTGCCCGCTGCTGGCTTAATGCTCAGTGCAATGGTCAGCTTCCAGACTGGCCTTTGACCCTCATGAGTCTGCAGCCAAAAGCAGGTTGATTTCTCTGCCTTGAATGAGTGGGCAGAGGAGTTCAATGGAAGGCATTTTAATTTAAGAATCAAAAAAAAAAAAAAAGTATTTGAAAGACAGCGACAGAAAAGAGGTAAAAGGCAAACATACAGATCTCCCATCCTCTGGTTCACTCCCCAGTGTCTGGCTGGAAGCTCCGTTAGGGTCTCCCACAGGGTGGAACTTAAAACATTTTCTAACTTTCTTCCCAGGTCCATGAGTAGGAAGCTGGAAAGTGGAGCAGCCAGGACTTGAACCGGTGCTCCTATGTGGGTTGCAAACAGCCTGACTGCTCCCAGCCCCCATGCCACAATGCCAACCACTTGTCTCCTGCCACTGTTGCCTGTGCTGAGGGTTAGCTTAAGCTGTCATGCTTTACTTCTTGCAGTGTTTAAGATTCTCCCATTGGCCTATGGTAGCCTTCAGCTTGACTGAGGCAGGTCTGCATGCAGGTCCCACTTTGCTCAGATCTTCAAACTGGAATCCCATTCTTTATTCAATTTCAGGAAACTTAGCCATTTACTGTCCTGATGCTGCCATTCTTTTTGCTCTTTCCTCTGGAACTCCCCTGAGAAGGCAATGGGTCTACTTCCTCCATGTCTCATTTCTTTTTTCTGTTGTTGCTTTTACACATATTTGAAAGGCAGAATTACAGAGAGGGAGAGAGAAAATATCTTCCATCCACTGGTTCATTGTCCAAATACCAGTAATAATGGCTAGAACTGAACCAGTTGAAAACAGGATCCAGGAGCTTCTTCCAGGTTTCCCAGGTGGGTGTAGGCTCCCAAGGACTTGGGCTGTCCTCTGCTGCTTTCCCAGGCCACAAGCATGGAGCTGGATTGGAAACGCAGCAGAAGGAACATGAACTGGTGGGGACGGAACATGAACATATGGGACGGTGGTGTTGCAGGCACTAGCTTTACCTGCTGTAGCACAGTGCAGCCCGGCCCCTCTTCAGTGGCTCTCAAGCAAGCTGGATCCTCTAACTCCCTGCTTCTCTTCCTGCTTCATCTGGTATACCGTTTGTCTCATTTATGGGTATTTCTTCAGCTGTAACCATACTGCCTCAGTTGTACTTTAGGATTGCTTTTTAAACGTGTTTATCCCGTGGCCCAGCATGATAGCATAGTGGTTAAGGTCCTCGCCTTGCATGCACCGGGATCCCATATGGGCGCTGGTTCTAATCTTAGCAGCCCAACTTCCCATCCAGCTCCCTGCTTGTGGCCTGGGAAAGCAGTCGAGGATGGCCCAAAGCCTTGGGACCCTGCAACCACGTGGGAGACCCAGAAGAGGCTCCTGAGTTCAGATCAGCTCAGCTCCAGCCGTTGCGGTCACTTGGGGAGTGAACCATCGGATGAAAGATCTTCCTCTCTGTCTCTCCTCTCTGTATATCTGCCTTTCTAATAAAAATAAATAAATCTTTAAAAAGTTGTGTTTATCCTGTCCTATTCTTCTACCAGAAGTTATGTTTTATCCTCTCATTCATCCACGACTTCCAGTTCTGTGATGCCTATTCCAGACCCTGAGCTTAGTCCTGGCCTTCCCTTCTCTCCCAGGTCCACAGCCACTTCCTGTAGCCTGCAGTGGCTTCCAGACTACAGCCCTCAGCTGTCGTGGTCTGTGGAAGCACCCGTCTTGTCTCCTCTTCAGGTTGGTTTCTGCCTCCTAGAAACTCCATCCTTGGTGGCCCATGTGGCTCTTTACCTTTCTTCTATTTAGGGAGCTCATGGCAAGCCCTGACCACATCCCCTATTCTGCCTTCTCCACACAGAAACAAGCCATAAGTCACAGGGCATGCTTGAACATCAGGGCAGCAGAGCCACGGCAAGGGTCAACACAGGCTCAGACCTGGAACAATATGATGGCACTTTGGCAGCAGAACCAGTCTGAAGTCAGTGCTGGGTCAGACTCTGCCAGGATGAGGTTGGAGCTTCATTTGGGACCTCAGTCAGGGTCCCTTCTGTGATGAGAGCCAGAACAAAGTCTGGGACAAGGACTGGTTCAGATCACAGAAGGATAGAGTGTGCCAACTGCCATGCATGTGGGAACATGTCCACAAGGAGCCCGGTGGGCAGATGTACCAGCACATGAAGAGCAAAGAAGGCTATGCACACTGGACACACCCACGATGCAGTTAGAGCACTCCCATCGGGACATGGCACAAGGCTGCTGACAGCCACATGTGCTGGACATGCCCATGGCGAGGTACTGAGGATCACCCTGTGCCATCAGGACCCAGCACCTCTGGGTGCTTACCACAGTCGACAGCCAGCAGGCTGCGTGACTGATGAGCAGACGGGCCAGGTGTGCAAAACAAGCACAAAGGTGACAGACAGCACTTGGCAGGGCTGAAGCCAAGCCAAGAAGCTGCTTGCACGTGCAACAACCCAGCACCAAGCCCCTCAGCCCCACTCCCCACCGCACAGGCACCAAACAAACCAACACTGCATGCCTCTGAGCTGCCCCTGGGCCATCTGTCCCTTCTCTGTCTCTGCCCAGTTCCAGTCCTACTCCAACCCCTGGCTACCCACCCTGCCAGTGCACACTCCATCCTAAACTGTCCACACAGCATTGCCCCTGGCCTCCATCCTAGACTGTCCATGACCTGCCCACCCCTGGCCCCCCACCCCCGGTCACTCACCCAATTCCTCGAGCTCAGCAGTCATGGACTTAGAGCGCAGGGTCAGCGTGGTGCTGGGTGCCCTCTTTGGGGGTGGTGGGGCTGCAAAGAATAGTGAGGCTTTGGCCCTCCTGTCCAGCAGCAGGCGGCGCGGCGTGGCCAGGTGCAAGTGCCACTTGCGCTCCACTGCCTGGATCTCCTCGTACTCCCTTGAGGATGAGTCGCACTGGGCCAGGATCTTGTTGAGGCTGCGGCTGGAAGCAAACTTCTTCATGGTGCTAGGAGCCCAGGCAGCTTGCAGCCCAGTGGGGGCAAGGGGTTGCACTCTGGACCCCAGAGACAGGGCTACGCTAGTGGTCAGGGGCACCCCAGGGGATGGTGATGCAGGCCCACTCTGGGGGAGGTGTCCACCCAGCAGGTTCCTAGGGCCAAGCAGCCGGGCAACGGAGCCATGGGATGGGGGCTGGGAGGGTGTGCTGGCAGGCTGGGCTTCCACCGCTCAGGACTCCCCCAACGCCCCAGGGGAACCCTGCCCCTAGGTGGGCCAGGGTGCAGCCAACCAAGCCGCTGGCCTGTGCTGGGCCGGGCAGCAGAGGCTCCTGGGCCCAGGCCTGCTGCGGCGTCGGCGCGGGGACAAGACGCTTTTCCTCTTCCCCCAGGTGCCGCCTCCCCCTCCCTCCGACGACAAAGCAGCAGCGTCAACCTCGCGGTCGCCATGGCAACCCCGGCCTCCAGGCAGCTGCTGGTGTCGGAAGGAGGCTCCACCACGCCAGGGGCTGGGGATGCCGGGAAGGAGGGGGTGGGGACCCAAGCAGGGGCAATCTGGGGTCAGGGGTCAGAGTGCCAGGCCAGGGCACTGGGCTCAGGGCCCAGGGTGGGGTGGGGTTGGGGACAGGTTAAGGGTCCTGGTACCCTCACCTCTGCGCCTGGAGCTGTCCTCCTCAGGCTTTCTTGTGACGGACACAACCTTCATGACCAGGCGGTTGCCGCCCTGGCGGATCAGCGCCACCACCTGCTTGTGGCCAACCTTGACCACGTTGACCCCATTCACCTGGGACAGATACCCGCTGTGGGTGCCTCAGGCTTGCCCCGGCACCTGCCCCAGCCACAAGCAAGCACCAGTGGGCCTCACCTCAATGAGGAAGTCCCCTGTGCGCAGCCCAGCCCTCCAGGCCACGCCCTCCACATCCACGGACTCAAGGTATTGCAGAGCAGGGAAGGCCGGTGTGGGTGTGAACTCCTCGATGGGGGTCTCTGCTGCAGGAGCAAGGAGCACGGCTCACACAGCCCAGGTTGGGGACATGTCCCTCAGAAACTCACCCACTCAATGGAAAGACTCTCGCCTGTGTGGGAGGAAACCACACAAGGGCAAGGCAACGGGAAGGCCGGGGGTGGAGCACTCACCCTTCGCACCCCGGAGCACAAAGCCGAAGCCCTCGTGGTCACGCTTCTGCAGCACAGCCACCTTGTCCTCGATGACATAGTCACTGCAAAAGGAGGCAGGGGCATGGGTGAGGGGAGCTCGCTGTTGATTGCACGGGATCCCCTGGGCCCAGACCACACAAGGCTCACCCCTGGCTTCCCTCTGGAGCCCCACTCATTCCTCTCTCCCCATCCCTACCTGTGTGAGGTGAGGCTGTCATAAGAGCCCACTGTGTAATGGCGGAAGAGCCGCTTGGTCCGGTCCTCTCGTGTCTCTGAAGGGAGATTGGCAGCTGATGGGCAGCACAATGCCCAGGAGCTAGCAGCACCCAGCAGTGCTGGTCATTCTTGGCCACATCTGCCTTTAGCCAGGGGAGCCCACATTCTGGTATCCTGGGGTGGGGAGGCTGGGGGGAGCATGCAGGGGCCAGTGCTGGAAAGAGCAGCAGCTTTAGCTCTTCTCTCCCAAGTGCACACAAAACCAGCACTGCCAAGGCCAAGGCCATGCAGAGTCCATGGACCTCAAAACTAAGGGCGGAGGAGGGAAGAAAGCAACTATGCATGCCCAGAATCATGTGTGAGGTCTGCGTCTGTGTGTGAGCCTGCACTCACGTGTGAGGACTGTGTGTGCCTGCACTCATGTGTGAGGCCTGTGTGTATGTGCAGTCATGTGTGAGGACTGTGTGTGTCTGCAGTCACGTGTGAGGCCTCTGTGTGGGCGTGCAGTCACACGTGAGGCCTGTGTGTGTGCCTGCAGTCATGTGTGTGAGTGTGCAGTCACGTGTGAGGACTGTGTGTGCAGTCATGTGTGAGACCTGTGTGCGTGCACCTGAAGTCACGTGTAAGGACTGTGTGTGTGCAGTCATGTGCGAGGCCTGTGTGTGTGTGCAGTCATGTGTGAGACCTGTGTGTCTGCACTCACGTGTGAGGCCTGTGTGTGTCTCCAGTCACATGTGAGGCCTGTGTGTGCCTGCAGTCATGTGTGAGACCTGTGTGTGTGCCTCCAGTTATGTGTGAGGCCTGTGTCTGTCTCTATGTGTGTGTGACTACTGTCATGTTAGGCGTATGTGTGTGTCTGTGCCATGTTTGTACGGATGACCTGCACCATGTGCCTCCAGGAGGTCTCACACCTTGCATAGCCCCATGGGGTCCCTTGCTGCAGAGTTGGACTGAAGCTCCAGATGGACCCTGGGCCCTCCTGCCTAACCTCACTACAGCAGTTTTGTGCCCTCCATCTCCTCAGTCTGTGTCCCTGCTTCCAGCACAGAGCTGGTCAGCTGCTGCTGGGCCTAAACTCCAGGCTTCCCTGGCAGCCCCAGGTCCTGGCCCCACTCCTCACACCTCCACAAAGGCCCCTAGGTGGTGCCAGTGCCCTCAGCACCACCTTCCTCTCCTTTCACTGCATCTCCCCTAGTGCCTGGCTGACATGCGCAGGGCACCACCTACTCTAGGGTCTCTGCCTCATGGAGCTGGTCACCTGTTCAGGAAGCATGGGGACAGAGGATGCTTAAGCCCAGTATAGCCAGCCTGGCACCCAGAGAGAAGCCTGCACGCTAGGATGGCACAAGGGCTGCTCCAGCAAGGTACAGTTCCACAGAGGTTCCAACCTGCAGCTCTGGGGACAAACATCCCCAAACTCTGGTGTGAGCACCCGGAGCCTGCAGGCCAGAGCACAGGGTGCAGGAGTGGGGCAGGGGTGAGGCCAGGAAGGGGTTTGTGTCCCTCCCACTTGCTGTGGGCCTCTGTGGTGGGGCAGGAAAGGGAGACCTGCAATGTACAGGTCCAGCAGGACTCACAGAGCATAACAGAAGAATGATAAAAGGGTTAGAGAGGGGCATAAAATGGCCAGTGCCTGGTTTACAAAGGAGGGGCTGTGGAGCATGCTGGCATAAAGACCCAAGCAGTCCTTTAGTCTGCCCCCTGCCATGGCAACTGCAGGGGACCCAGAGTCCAATAAACTCACAGTGAGCAACTTTTCAAATGGTGACTTTCAAATGGACATAAATCAAAAGGTCCTAGATTGCAGAGGATCTGGGGCCTAAATAGATGGAGGTGGGCCATGTGGGGAGTGGCAGACTGTGTGTGGGGTAGGCTGTGTGAGGCATGGGCTGTGTGGGGAATGGTGGGCTGTGTAAGGGGTAGGCCATGTGGGGAACTGTGGACCATGAAGGGTGGGCCATGTGAAGAGTGCCAGGCCATGTGGGGTTGGTGGGCAGTGTATGGGATGGTAAGCCATGTGTGTGGGGTTGTGGGTCATGTTTTTGGTGTGGTGGACCATGTGTGGGGTGAGCCACGTGGGGAATGGCAGGCTGTGTGAGGGGTGGACCATGTGAGCAGTGGCAAGCCACGTGGGGTTAGTGGGCAGTGTATGGGATGGTAAGCCATGTGCATGGGGTGGTGGACCATGTTTGTGCAGTGGTGAATCGTGTGGAGTGGTGGACCATGTGTGGGGTGGGCCATGTGAGGAGTGGCAGGTCATCCGGGGAGTGGTGAGCCGTGTGTGGGATAGTGGGCCATGTGTGTGGGGCGGTATCCCATGTGTGAGGCGGGCCATGTGTGTGGTGTCATATTCCATGTGTGAGGCGGACCATGTGTGTGGGGTGGTATATCATGTGTGAGGTGGGCCATGTGTGTGGGATGGTAGACTGCCAGGGAGGAACAGGAGGCAACGGCAAGGAGCGATAGGTGCTGCTTAGGAAATAGCTCCTGATCCTTCCCAAGACTCAAATCCGAAGATAGTGCCAGTCCAGGCTCAGGCCTCTGCTCCAAATCATGGGTCCTTGGGTCCATGCCCTGTGGAGCACCGCCTTATAGGATAGGAAATCCACCTGCAGGCCCAGGTCCTAAGCTTGCCATCCGGGTGCCTCACTCAGTCTTCTCCCCCAACACAGCTGCAGCGATCACCCGGGACCTCCATACTGCCTAGAACCTCAGGCCCCTCCCTGCCTCACCACACCCTCCTAGGTCCAGCCAGCCCAGAAATGCTCACAGTTTCTACCCCAAACAGACTGCACTTCTTACGTAACACACACAGGCGCCTCCTGGCTTTGCTAACCCGACCCATGAGGCCAGCTGGAGGGAAGCTGCCCAGCACAAACAGAGCCTCACAGGAAAGAGGGTGTGGCTAGGAGAGCAGGGGCTGTCCCTGTCATGGCCCTGGAACCCTCACCCAGGCTGAGAGACCAAGAGCTATCCTTGCCCTGCCCTTCCCCCATCTCATCCTGCAGGCCCCTCCCATGGGACCCCTGTCCATCCAGGTAGCTCTGCCATTTCCACAAACCCCAGGGCCACACAGCCACACTGCCCCCAGTCTAGGAACTTAGCAGCAGCTGTGGGAGGCCTCCAGCTCCATCACCCTGGCCTGTTCATCCACAACTTTCCAATCCCACATGGCCCCCAATGCAAGCAGCAGATCCTGATCTCCTACAGCTAGGTCCCAAGTGATCTCAGGTTCCAGCAGGGCCACTCCTCACACTGCCTACAGTACCCTAAACAGGCCCTGAGTGTTGGGGCCACATGGTGCCTAGTGCCACTGCCTGGTGCTGCTCCAGCACGAGGGGCTGGCTCCTGGGCTGGGACACCATGTACCCCACGCCCCACTCCAAAGCTCCCTCCTGTCCACCAGGCTAGGGATAACATTTCTTCCAAATTCTGACTCCAGACCAACCCTGCCTCCCTCCTCTGCTTAGGACCAGTGCTGAGGTCCACACAGGCCACTGACAACATGAGAGGCCCTAATCCACAGGCCAGGGGCTCAGTCCTACCACACCCCAAACTGCAGAGTAGCTCCCTGGGAGGCAAGGGCCAGGTCAGGTAGCCAGGTCACCTGATGGACTCTTAGGGCAACCTCCCTGCCACGCCAGAAAAGGTATGCAGCTACCCTGGGCACAGGTCCACTGCCTTATCCACCAACTCTGCCAGCCACAAGGGTACCCTGGTACTCAGAGGACTCACTGCCAAGACACTGCCAGTTTCGGTCTGGGGTCCTCCAGACCTGGCCCTCACTGTCCCCAGGAGGACACATCCTGAAAGTCCTGGTGGTCAGTGGGGCCAGAGAGATAAGCTAGCACGCCCAGGATCTTTGGCTGCTCCAGACGACCCCCTCCCTACTGACTACAAGCCCACCTTCACCTTCCACCCTCGTAACCCTAGGCCCAGCTGCCCCAGACGGCCCTCAGGGCTCCACTGGCCTCATTTCCTCCTGGCTGCTCTGCCCACTTGGACAATCTGTCCACTTTGAAAGAACGCCTCTTCCCTCTCAATGACCTCCTTCCTTGCTTGTCAGCCATGCACACTTGTGCCAGACACCTGGTGTTTCCATTAGGGTAGTGCTAGTGTTACAAGTGGAACCTCCTAGGAGAAAGTGTGCACACACATACATACCTCCCATGGTATGTCCTGTGGGCGTCCTCAAGTGTATATCTGGGACACATACACACGTACTTCTGTGGCATATCCTATGGGTGTCCCTGTGTGTATGTCTAGGACACACACGCACATGTACTTCCTATACTATGTCCTGTGGGCATCGCTGTGTGTATATCTGGTGCACACACATACGTACCTCCTGTGGTGTGTCCTGTGGGTGTCCTCATGTGTGTATCTAGGACACACACACATGTACTTCCCGTGGCATGTCCTGTAGGAGTCCCTGTGTGTATACCTGGCACACACACACACACACATACACCTCCCATGCTGTGTCCTGTAGGAGTCCCTGTGTGTACGTCTAGGACACACACACACACACACACACACCCCGTGGTGTGTCCTCTGGGTGTCCCCGTGTGTGTATCTGGGGCACACACACATGTACCTCCCGTGGCATGTCCTGTGGGCGTCCCCACGTGTGTATCTGGGGCACACATGTACCTCCCGTGGCATGTCCTGTGAGTGTCCCCACGTGTGTATCTGGGGCACACACACATGTACCTCCCGTGGCATGTCCTGTGAGTGTCCCCACGTGTGTATCTGGGGCACACACACATGTACCTCCCGTGGCATGTCCTGTGGGCGTCCCCACATGTGTATCTGGGACACACATGTACCTCCCGTGGCATGTCCTGTGAGTGTCCCCACGTGTTTATCTGGGGCACACACATGTACCTCCCATGGCATGTCCTGTGGGCGTCCCCACATGTGTATCTGGGACACACATGTACCTCCCATGGCATGTCATGTGAGCGTCCCCAGGTGTTTATCTGGGGCACACACATGTACCTCCCATGGCATGTCATGTGAACGTCCCCACGTGTTTATCTGGGGCACACACATGCACAGTGTCTCTGCTGTGCGCCTGGGTTTGCATCTACTCTGGGTGTGCTTGGCTCAACTTGTAGTCTTTCCTCTGTGAATATTCATGTAGATTTGGCGCCAAGAGAGGCAGGTGGAAAGCTGGAGGGGGCACCGCGGAGCTGGGCAAGATCACTCACCATGCCGGGCGTCATACTGCCTCATCTGCACCTCCTCCACGCAGTCGGCCGGGAACCAGCCTGTGCGGCCCTTCACGGTGCCCTCCCAGAATCCGCCCTCCCCAATGCTGAGCACTGGAGGGGCAAAAGCCAGACAGGAGCAGGGGTGAGCAGGGACCCCACACCATGGACAGGAGCAGGGGTGAGCAGGGCCCTCCCCCACACACCATGGACGGGAATCAGGGGTGAGCAGGGCCCCCCACACCATGGACAGGGGTCAGTAGTGAGCAGGGCCCTCCCCACCATGGACAGAAGTCAGGGGTAAGCAGGGCCCTCCCCTACCAGACAGGAGCAAGGATGAGCAGGGCCCCCCACACCATGGACAGGAGTCAGTGGTGAGCAGGGCCCCCCCACCAGACAGGAGCAAGGATGAGCAGGGCCCCCCACACCATGGACAGGAGTCAGGGGTGAGCAGGCCCCCCCCCAGACAGGAGCAAGGATGAGCAGGGCCCCCCACACCATGGACAGGAGTCGGGGTGAGCAGGAATTCAGCCCCTTGTCCCTCCTCTCCTCCTTGGGGGGATTCTGGGATCCATACAGAGAGGAAAAGGAACAGATGGGTTTGGCTTGGGATGGGCACATGGGGAACAGGACCACGCACACAGGGACACCCGGGTGTGGGGGCAGGAGACAGAGCCCGGGCTGTGATCTGCCCTGGGGCCCAGTGACCAATCTCCTCCCACCTCTGGGGCCAGTCATGGGCCACAGCCAAGCCAGGGTCACTGCACTTTGATGTGCCAGTAGGGCTGAGATCCAGGGCGAGAGGAACCCAGGGTCTCACAGGGACCCTGGTGAGAAGTGTGTCCACCCAGCACAAGATCCCCAAGGGAGAGACCACCCTCCCACCCAACAGTCAAGGCAGCCTTGGAAACGATACAAGAGCCCCCATTAAGCCTGGAAGGGGCTGGAACAGGCCTGGGATCCCCCAAGACTCCTGGTGGCATAGGAGAGGACAGAGTCCGCGACAGGAACCCCAGGACAGGGACGCCGCTCGGGCCGAGCCCTTCCCGGGGCGCAGAGTCCCCAGCACAGGCACGCCAGCCACGGCCAGGGTCGCCCCCGCGGGCACAGCCCCAGTCCGAGCCCGGCGCGGCGCCCCGCCCCACGCGACCCCGCCCCCCCGCGCCCCTCACCCTTCACGGCCTCGCCGCGGTGCAGCGGGATCTCGCCCTCGCCCTGCGGGCTGTGCGCCTTCACCGCGATGAACTTGCGGCCGGGGACGGCGCTGTAAAGTTTCCGCTTCGGGCCCCGCGGCGGCGGAGCGGGGGGCGCAGGGGGCGCCGGGCTGGGGCCGGGCGCGGGGCCGGGGCCGCCGGGCCCGCTCGGGCTGTAGACGAACACGTAGGTGACGGACGCGATGCCGGGGGGCAGCGGGCACGCGAAGCCGGCGCCCGGGGCCTCCATGGCGCTCGGCCCGGCCCCGCCGCCGGCCTCACCGCAGCCGCCGCCGCAGCGCCCGCCGCCCGCCGCCGCCCGCCGCCGCCGCCGCCCGCCCGCCCGCCGGGGGCCCGGCCCGGGGCCGCTCCATGGGCCGCGCCGCCGCGCCCGGCCCGCTCCCGCCAGCGCACGAGCCGCCGCCCGCTCAGGGCTCGGGGGCCGCGGGGCTGCGCTCCCGGGCGCGCCGGGCTCGCTCCATGCCGCGGCCGCTCCGCGCGCCCCGCCTCCTCCGCGGCCCGGCTCCTCCCTCTGCGGGCGGCGGCGCGGCCGGCTCTGCTCCCTCGCGCACTGCCCGCGCCCCTCGCCGCGGACCCCACAGAGCGCACGGGGTGGGGGGCTGCGGTGCAGGGGCGCCGGGGAAGGCGGGAGCCGGCGCCCGAGCAGCGCGGCCCCAGCTTGGCCGCGGAGCAGTGGGTACGGGTGCGGCTGAGTGTACCCCCGGCCCGCCCGGCTGTCGTAGCCCAGCCTCAGATACAAGCTGGGCTCCCAGGGCCTGCGTCCTCTCTTGAGGGACACTAGGTCCCACCACCCGTACCCTCTGCACACTGAACACTCCCGATCGCTCCCCTGCCACCCCCCAGGGCCTGGGGGCTCGCTCTGGCATGGCCATTCTGCTCTGGGTCTGTCCCAGCTCCCTGGTGCAGCTACAACGGGGGTCCTCTTCCTGTCTCCTGGAGCACACTGAGCCAGCCCTGTCAGTTACTTAGTGGAGGTCCTGTGCCCCCTGAACACTGTGGTGTGCACACACTGCGGGGTGCCAGGCCAGGCTCCACCAACGAGGTGAGTGCAGAGGCTGAGAGGGAGCCATTGGGATCTGGCTGACCCTTCTCCTTGGGCAGACACCCCTCAGCTCTTCGGCCCTGATCTTGGGACCATTGAAGATATGAAGGTAGCACACATACCCCCGTACACCTGGCAGTTAATAAATGAAGCCGGAAGTCTGCTGCACTCAGAGCAGGCACCACTCTATGTGGGCCAGAGGAGGACCCTCCACATAGAAACCTTGGGGCTGCAGGGAGACATCACGCACCCTGTAGCAGCCTGTGCTGTGCACTCAGAGGCCCAGCCGATTCATCACCTGCCAAGGCCCTCTGCCAGGCAGCCCCGACCTCACCAAGAGGCAAAGAGCCATGCCCCCCCAAACCACCAGTGCACAGCCCACACAGGCCAGGAGGCTCTCGCGCAGGCTGCCCACACTAGCTCTGGGCACATGCAGCGTTTCAGGATGGAAAGCAAAGCAGAAACTACTAGATCTTGCAGGGTTACAGTGGGAAACCCAAGTTGGCCTTGGGGCAAGCCTAGTGTCACTGTGAAGAGGGGGCTCCACACATACCCAATCTCTTCTCCAGAGGCACCCATGACACCCCCATAAGCTTCCTAAATCTTATTGTTGGCCCACACCCTCAGGGTCCACCCTGTTCCAACCAGAGGTCAAGCGTTCCCACCCAGGAAGGCCTGAGACATTTCTGGTCCCAGCCCCAGCCCACTACATACTGTACAGGTGTCAGGCACATAGGGTGACTGGTCCCCACCCCCCGCAACCTCACCCACACACACTCTGTCCTGCATGCTGCCGGCCCTCCACACCTCATCCTGCTGTACAGGTGTCAGGCACATAGGGTGACTGGTCCCACCCCCCACCCACCCACACACACACTCTGTCCTGCATGCTGCCAGGCCCTCCACACCTGATCTTGCTCTGGCTGCCCCTGCCTGCGGAGGGGACACTGGTGTCATTCTGCTGCTCGCCGTCCCGGTCCCGGTCCTTCTCTTCCTGCAGCCGCTGGAGCAGCAACTGGTGTGGGAGGCTTCGTAGGGAGGGTCCAGGAGCTGCTGGTTGCATCTCACCCTTCAGGTTGATGTCACTGGCTGAACGCTGCAGGGGCCGGGGGGACGCCAGGCCACTGGGGCCAGCCAGTCGCCGCCGCTTTGCATAGCTGGGGGTCTCCCTGAATGGCACTGGAGAGGGCACAGGGCAGATGGTGAGAAACCAGGAGGGTAGCCCACATTTCCCATCACCCAGTCTTCCTTGAAACTAAAGCCCAGTGTTATAAGCTGCACTTCAGTGTCCAGCACGCCCACACGGCGGGTTACCCATTAGGAGAGACAGGACAGCCATCAAGCCTCCACTCTGGTTTTATGCACGCACCTAGCTGTGTCTCAGAGTTCTGCCCACTTCAGGAGATACTCAGAGCTGAGGGAACTGGAGGGTTAGGGTCAGGGTTCCGTGAAACAGAGTGTGGAATCATAGCCTGCGACACCAGCACCCCACACTCCAGTCCCGGCTGCTCCACTTCCCATCCAGGTCCCTGCTAATGTAACTGGGAAAGCAGTGGAGGACGGCCCAGGTGCTCAGGCATGGGCCACCCACACAGAGGCCTGGAGGAAGTTCCAGACACCTCGCGTCACCTGGTCCACCCATGGCCATTAGTGGCCACATGGGAAGTCAACGGGAGAATGGAAGACATCTCTCTCTCTTTCTCCCTGTAACCCTGACTTTCAAATAAATTAATCTGCAACAACCTCATCATGCTTGGAATGGCAAGACTGGCAGCAATTCATTACAGTTGAACTATTAAAACCACTTAAGCAAGACCCTTGGAGTATGCCCCACATCAGGGACCTGGGATGGGTGGGAGACTGGGCGGGGCTTCTCCTTTTATCTCCCCTTTTACCTCAGATACAGGAAAAAAACAAGTGGAAATAACAGTCTTACCCACTTTTCTGTAGCCCTTGAACCTTCGTGCCTTAATTAACTATGTAAAGATTGTCAAAAATAAAGAAAAAAAGCGGGGGGGGGGGGGGAAGCAAATGGGGGCCCAGTGCAGTAGCTTAGCAGCTTGGGTCCTCACCCTGAACACACCAGGATCCCATTTGGGCATTGGTTCTAATCTCGGCGGCCCCTCTTCCCATCCAGCTCCCTGCCTGTGGCCTGGGAATGCAGTCGAGGATGGCCCAAAGTCTTGAGATCCTGCACCCATGTGGGAGACCTGGAGGAAGTTCCTGGTTTCTGGCTTTGGATTGGCACAGCACCAGCCGTTGCCATCACTTGGGGAGTGAATCATTGGACAGAAGATATTTCTCTCTGTCTCTCCTCTCTGTATATCTGACTTTCCAATAAAAATAAATAAATCATTTTTTTAAAAAAGATTTATTTTTATTATTTTTTCATTGGAAAGGCAGATATACAGAGAGGAGAGACAGAGAGGAAGATCTTCCGTCCGATGATTCACTCCCCAAGTGAGCGCAACGGCCAATGCTATGCCGATCTGAAGCCAGGAGCCTCTTCTGGGTCTCCCACACAGGTGCAGGGTCCCAAAGCTTTGGGCCGTCCTTGACTGCCTTCCCGGGCCACAGGCAGGAAGCTGGAAGGGAAGTGGGGCCGCTGGGATAGAACCGGCGCCCATATGGGATCCTGGGCGTGCAAGGCGAGGACCTACCACTTGCGCCACCGTGCCGGGCCCAAATAAATCATTTTTTAAAAAAATTTTAAAAAGCAAATGGTAAATTATGAAGTATGACCCAACTGTATACTGTAAAAAAGAATCACTTTAGACCCAGATACGTATAAATTAGAAGCAGAAAGAAACAACCAAAAGAAGACTGAATAGCTATATTAATGTCAGACAAAACAAACTTTAAAATAATCAAGTAACAAAACATAAAAGGGGATGTCACTTCCTTATATAAAAGGATCAAGTCACCAAGAAGATTCACACCGCTAATGCACAGGTACCAAACATGAGAACACTGAGGGACCCGAAGCAATGACACAGCTGACAAAAGGGACAGGCTGCTGCTGACGACAGCTAGAGATTTCACTGTGCCACCTTCCTTGCGCAAGAACCAGACCTCTGGGCCACACAAGTCAAGCCTGGCAGAATACACTTAATAAATCTTTGCAAGTTTACATGAACATTCTACAGTACAAGCCTCATGCTCAGCCACAAAGCAAGTTTCAATAAATTTTAAAAGATTCAAGATCTGCAAAATATCTTCCCATCTTTCCCAATGGAATAAAGCTAAGCATCAAAAACAGAAAGAAACCTATAAAATCTACAAACATGTAGCAATTAAATTCCACATCTCAAAACAGCCAGCTTGTCAAAAAATAAATCAGGAGGAAAACTGGAAAACCTTTGAGACAAATGGAAGCAAAAAAATACGATATAACAAAAGTTGTGGGGTGCAGCAAAAGCTGCACAAAGAGGAAACCTACATTGAATCAGAAGACTGGACTTGTGGTAAGTGGTCAGGGCTGGGGCTGTGGAACAGTGGGCAAAGCCACAGTCTGAAACATCAGCTGGAGTCCTGGCTGCTCCACATCCAGTCCAGCTCCCTGCTAACACACCGGAGAAAGCAGAGGCTGGCCCAGCCAGTGACCCCTTGCCACCTGCTTCTTGGAGAGTGAACAAGTGGATGGGATCTATGTGTGTCTCAAATTTTCTCTAAAAAGAAGAAAGTTCTCATATCAATAACTTAACTGTAGTCCTGAAACTAGAAAAAGACTGGCTAATCAATGAAAATGAAATAAAAGCTAGCAGACAGAAGGAAATGATAATACTAAAAGCTTTTTAAAAGCAAGACGGAGAAAGGTCCCAGTGTTATGGCCATAGCACGTAAGGTTGCCACATGCAGTGCCAGCATCCCATTTGAGCATTGGTCCAGCTCCCTGCTAACAGCCTGGGAAAGCAGTGCAAGATGGCTCAAGTGCCTGCACTTGGTCCCTGCACCCACATAGCAGACACAGATGAAGCTCCGCTTCTGGCTTGGCCCGGCACCAGCCTGTAGCCATTTGGGGAGTGAGCCAGCAGAAGGAAGATCTGTCTGTCTCTTCTCTGTAACTCTGTTTTCAATTAACTTAATAAATACATTAAAAAAAATCTATTGGGGCATTATTACTGGTTTTGTAGAAATAAAAAAGAATTCAAGGCCAGCACAGTGCCATGGCAGACGCAGCTGCCACCTGCAATGCCAGCAGCCCATAGAGCACTGGTTCTAGTCCCGATACTGCACTTCTGATCCAGCTCCAGGCTAATGTGCCTGGGAAGGTAGCAGAGGAGTGCCCAAATCCATGGGCACCTGTACCACGGGTGAGACTCAGATGCAGCTCTAGGCTCCTGATAGCAGCCTGGCCCAGCCTAGGTTGTTCACACCTATGGGTGCAAATGTAAGATACTCTCTGTGTCTCAACCTTAAGCTCTCTTTCAATTATAAATGAAAGCAGGGCCGCTACCCACCAGACCCACCTGGATGGAACATGTATCCCTGCTCACTAGACTAGGGACAGACTAGAAATGGGGGCACTGAGGGTTTCTCTGAGAGATATATATATCTGAGATATTTACATGAATATAAAGTGATTGGTAAGGGTTTCCACTGATCAGTCCACTGTACCCACAGGTGGGTGACAAAGCTGGGATGGGGACAGAGGGACGTAGAGGGCCTCCCAAGACCAGGATACCACGCTCACTGACAGTCTGATGAGGGCTCTAGGGGGTCTCATGACCAGGCCACTACACCCACTGATAAGCCTGGAGCTGGGGCTAGTACAAGCCAGGACTAGTTACTACACTTTCCAAAACACAGAAGAGCTAAGCATGGGGGTGACAAGATAAGAATTTTCCTGGCCAGGTCATTGCACCCACAAGTGGCCATGAGAATTGAGGCTGCATCAAGCCACGGTATCCACTGGCACATATGAGAACCAGGCTTTGAGGCACTCAGGCAGGGGCTTTTAGAAGTCTGCCCAACTAGGCCAAAACACCCTGCTATGCAAGGGAATCTGGGCTGGGTATGGGCCAGGCCAGGTAGATGCTCCCATTGGTGCCCAGGAAGGCCAGATCTGAAGACAGGCCAGGTAGAGGTTTTCACCGGCATTCCCAACTAGACCATTTCACCTGCACCCTGACTTCAGGCAATATCACATAGTTACGTGGTCCAGCCTCAGAGCACATGTTGCTGCTATGCAAGAATTAAGAACATATCCAGAGGCACAATAAGACAGCCAGCTCCTCTAATCCAACAGAAAATTTCAAGCACCTCATTCAACTGTGGAAAGAAGAGCAGGTTGAACACTTCAGACCAAGTTCTACAGCAAGCACCTAAGTTTGTGGACACACTGAGGAAGACAAAGAGAGCCAATAGGCCTTAAAAGGAACTTCTCACCTCTGGTACAAGGAAGCCAAGAACTTCTCAGAATAATCAAGACCACTCAAGACACTCATCTCACCATCAGGGTTCCTAACGCAATACCCAAAGACCATCTCTGTCGGGGGGCACTGTGGTCTGACAGCAAGGAACAGCATACCATCCATCTCCCCAACAGACACATGAGGCAATGTGGAAACTTTTCTCTCACCTATCCTCCCCACCCCCATCTCATTCTGTCCTCATCAGCAGCCCACATGGGTCTGTAATGCCTCACTTTTGCAATAAACATTAAAAATTGAAAATTTAAGTGAAAATAAATAAAACTTTCTATTTCGATTTTAGAAAGTAAATTTAAAATTCCTTTAAGGAAATTGTCTTCAGGAAGGAGGAGTATTCACATAAATTATTGCTAAAAGTCTCAGAAATACAGAAACTGACTCAAATGTGGTTTCTTTGTAAGCTCACACAAGCTTATCAAAAAAGCTGTTGGTGACATGAACACATGGATACTTTCTAGGGTGTGGGGGGGCAGGCTCATGTGCTCTCTGTTTTAGGGTCACAGCCAAGCCCTAACACATCCCAGGAGTGGAGAGCAGAAGGAACTGGTGGACACAGGAGGCTTGGGGGAGAGACAACGGTGAGCTCTTCAGCTTCATAGCTTCTCTAACGCTTGAGTCAACAGAAATGAACTGCCCACAGCCAGATGCAGGAGCGGTCAGACAGGCCCAGGGCAGGCCAGGCAGACCCTGTCGGTCACGCACTCCGGCCCCCGGTGACCAGCCCAGCAAAGCCCTTCAATGGCTGGC